ATAGGCTGGGTTACTGATTGTTGCTGAAGGCCCAACAGGCGCCTTCAACTATTTCTAATACCAAAACTATACCTGTAGCACTCATTCTCATAGCAGAAACAGGTGGCAACTTTTGAACTAGAAGGTAATAAACAAGTATCTTTCTGAAGATACCGTTTTCAATATTTTCTTGCATGCGTAATCAACTTGCAAATTAATCCCATTTTTATTTCCTAAGACTGATCACTAAACAAAAGCAAGCTAGCTTTCAACTGGTAGAACTGTGAAACCTGTCCTTGGAACAGAACTTTCTGAATGGAGCTCTGCTTCCAACTGAAAACTTACTACAGTCTCCTCCTTCTGAACCTATGAGAGAAGCTAGGTGCATGCAATTTTTTCCTCTAAATACAGTGGTGCCTCGCTTAGCAATGTTAATTTGTTCTGAAAAATCGCTGCTAAGCGATTTCATCGCTAAGCGAAACGTGGTTTCCCATTGAAATGCATTGAAAACCGGATAATCCATTCCAATAGGAACGAATTGCTGTCCTTAAGCGAAAATCGCCATAGGAAACATCGCTAAGTGAAACGTGGTTCCCAATTGAAATGCATTGAAACCTATTCAATGCATCTCAATGGGAGGAAAAATACAACACCAAATTTAAAAGAGTCAGAACAAAGTCAAATTTGGTTAACAAAGGGTTTATTAAGTGCACTTTATGATTTCAAACATTTTAAACAGTAAACTTTAACTTTATAAATAACAGAAAAACATTTAAAAAACAGCAAACATGAGGCTGTTTAAACCATTGTTAAGTGAAACTGGGGACCCAAAATGTAATCGTTATGCGAAGCATGGTCCCAACCATCGCTAAACGAAAATCGCCCATAGGGACCATCGCTAAACGAACCGCAAAAATGCTCCGAAAAAGTAGCTGCTAAGCGATTTCATCGCTAAACGCAAATGTCATCTCCTCCTATTTTCTGTTGACCTGTAAGTATACTGCTATGAAAGCTTTACTCAGAATTCCACAATGAGCAATATTTTTTACTCTCTAATAAATACACATAGGATAACACTCTTAATAAAATCTATGTCTAGTAGATTACTAGGTCACTGATTTTAGATTAACAAACCTTTTCTTACAGATATGTGCTTCTCAATGGGTAATACGCCACAACAGCCAAGCACAAGTAATTCCTATTCTGCTTCAAGATTGCCAGGCAAATAAATGAAATACAGATGTGTTTTAAAGGTCCTTTTGTCCTCTTTATTTAAAATGTTTATGTACTGCCCAACTGGCAATATCCTTCTGTGATTTACACACACACACACACACACACACACACAAATATATATGTGTATGTATGTATGTGTGTGTATGTGTGTGTGTATATATATATATGTATATATATATATGTGTATATATATGTATATATGTATATATGTATATATATATGTATGTATGTATATGTATATGTATATATGTATATATGTGTATAACTACCTGTATATGTATATGTATGTAAATCACAGAAGGATATTGCCAGTTGGGCAGTACATATCAATATATATATCAATAAAATCAGAAGAAGAAAAAACTAGACAAAGTTGAATCACAATATTAAATTGGGACCATATTAAAATGTTAATGTAAAATGTTGATGTGTTAAGAACCAATAATAAAACAAGCAGTAAAAACCAAAAATAAAAATCATGAATGCCTGCTGGAAGAAGATGACCTTAGCATGGCATATAGATGCTACTAATAAGGATGCCAGGCAGATTTTCCTGGCAAGGGCAGTCTACAAATGGCAGATCCATTATCAAGAAGTCCCCCCCCCCCGGAACTACCTGTTCTTCCCAGTTTTCACACATTTGTTGTGCCTTTAAAAAAAAACCTACAGTAGGTCTTGGTAAATTTCTTTTAAGCTGTAAAAAAATTATTCTTGTCTTAACAGTCTCAGGATGTCTTGCTGTAATAGTGAGGGCGCTGGGTATTTTAGCGAATACGGTGTGCATCCCTTTAGCACAATATTGTTCACTGCTTCTTTAGAAAGTTAAGAATTGTGGTCCTGTTGTATTAAACTGAAATCCAAATATGTCCAGCACTCTTTAAAAAAAAGAGATGACTTGAAAACATTCACAAAGAGTATCTGGTACTGAGTCTATTCACTGAATATATACTATCCATGAATATGAAAGTTTTGTCCTTTATTATTATTGTTGGGTTTCCATGAGAACTGATGCTGATGAGGGTGTTTGTTAAGAAACAGAAACTAGAGTAAAAGTGATCATATTATAAACTGGAGTGTGGAAAATCTACTTCTCAAAGCAATCTTTGGTGCTGATGGAAGGCTGCTCAGCTGATCAATTTTTCATTACATATGGCTGAAACAGGCAAGGTATTTTGCTTGCTCTACCATTTCTCAGTTTATGGTTACCAGCACCCCAAACAGCCAAAACACTATGAATGTGTTTTGGTTTAAGTAAAGAGCCCAAGCAAAGGAGGAAAGATGAGTGTCTGTACTGGGATGATAGAGGGAGTTAACCCTTCCCCATGCAATAGCCCCAATCAGCATCAGGCCTAGGACTTGGCTGCTATTTGCAGGGAGAAGGAAGCTGTCATTGTTGCCAGTGGAAACATCCTTCATAAAGCAAATAGTGCTCAAAAATCAGATCATTGGCAACAAAGAACCCCAGTACACTCTAATTATACCACTGGTTCTTAACCTTGGGTTACTCAGGAGTTTTGGACTGCAACTCCCAGAAGTCTTCACCACCTGCTGTGCTGACTGGGGTTTCTGGGAGTTGCAGTTCAAAAGCATCCAAGTAACAAAGGTTAAGAACCACTGAATTATACCAAGTACTGGTAAATGAAGTGCTGGCTAGATAAATCAATGGCAAGGCTATCTGGCTGTGGAGCCAGGATTTGAGAGAGCAATTCCCTGCTGTGTGCTGTTAAATAATTTGTGACAACCTTGGAAAAGCTAGCCAAAAACCAGAGAATCCATTTGATAGCTCAAAATTAAAGGAAATAAAATGACTTTTTCGATTGTGTTTCTTGTCGTACATGCAGTATCCTTCTCCAAATCACAAAACACAGTGAAGAAATGCACCTTCAAAATGCTGCCCCATATGCAGCTTGGATTTACTGAAATTCTCAACTTTGAGAAGCAGAAAACTTTTATTTAAAAATTAAAGGATTTCTATTTTCAAACTCATTTTGTACTGAACTCTGTAAAACTCAAACAATGGCTCTTTTGGTTGCTTGCAAATGCCTTTTAAAATGTGCCCCCCTAACATATTTCTTAACAATCTGGAGACACATACATTCAGACACCCCATTCAGAAATGGCATGCAAACCTAAGACTGGCCACCACTTGTCCATCTTAATGCAAACAAGGATGGATAAAGAAACCACAGAGCTTCTGGTTTGTGGCAATATATGAACCTAGCATTCCTTCTGATTTGTTTCTCCCCTAAATCAGAGGCATGGCTTCAAGAATCAGAATATGTAATGTGGATAGAGAAGGTCTATGTGGTCTGTTTAGCTACTCTCATTGGGAGCAATCTGGTAGGATGCACTAGTACACTGTTTGTAAATGACAACCTAGCATTCCTAAAGAACTCTGGCTTATCACAATGTGAGAACCAAACCAGTGGCTCTCTTTTTAAGGAGACAAGTATAACAATCAACAAAGAAATGTACAAATATATTCTTATCAAACTTTGCAACTAATCTGCATATCTTCATTTAACGTACCAATTTTCACTTTTCCAGGCTGTCTGGAAGCAAATGTATCTTTTTGACATAACAATGAGTCTGAAGGTTAGGTAAAGAGATACACTAGTTTCCCATTACCAAATATTTGTAGTAACTGGGCAGTCTTGCATATCTCAGGACCATAGCTCACTGGTAAGTATTGTAATGCTTTCAGTACACTTATGCAGGCAAATGTATGTTACCACAATTCCTTCTACAGAGGAAGTAAAGCACGTTTTAATATGCTATGGGTAAATATATTAACAATTAGCATGGCCTGGCTAATACAAATGTCACAAAATACCTTGTTAAAATATTTATGATGTCTCAGACTAAAGTTTACAACTGTACTTTTTTTGAAAACACACCATGAAGAGGTAAAAATGGACTATTAGGAATTAGAACTATTAGGAATTTCTTCAGCATGGTGAAGACTTAAACAAATTAAATTATGCATGGATTATATTCAGTCTGCTAGACTTTTCTGTTAACAGTCAGCCAAGAATCCAGAAAGCTGGTACAACATATCTTTTTATTCACTGATTTGTCCCAAAGTTGTTCACAACCCTAATAACCTTACAGGTCACACAAACCTTTACCATATAATACATATATACATCACGATAAGGAAAACCTTCAGCTTTAATGACAGATCAGACAGCTACACCCAGAGGCTAGACAACCAAAGGCAAAGCTATAGGAATGCAAGCAAACTGAAAAGAAAAAAAAGCCATACTCCTATGTTACTAACACTGAAACCAATGGGATTTGAACAGCCTTAACTATTCACAGGCTGCAGCCTGAGACTGCTGCAGAAACACTAGCCATAGCCTCGTTGACCTAATGTCTACTGTACAGTAAACATTGCCATGACGGCAATTGGGGAAAAAATCAATATAATGAATACATTTCGGCTGCATCCTCTACACTTCTCTGATCGATGGTAAGGCATCACATGCAACACTGGCTGTGGCTCACTGTTCCTCTGACCGTCCTCCTCCTTCGATCATACCGGGAAAGGAGGCTGTGAGGAGAGAAAAACACTAAGGCTAGAGGCGGCGGGGGAGAGTCGCCAGGCGGGCAGGCGGCGTATTGTCTGCCTGGGAAGGAAGGAAGGAAGGAAGGATGCCAGGATGGATGCCCATCAGCACAAGCACGGAGGACTCCCTGCTTGACTCCCTCGACGCCAACAGAACACCCGCTTCGCTCCCTGCCGAGGAAAAGAACAGGCAGAAGCCCCTTTTCTCCCGCCTTACCTTTTTTTCCAACCTCCCTCACTCTTGCTCAACGGAATGGGAAGCCGGGGGGGGGGGTCAGGCGCGAGGCGACGTGAGGGCGAACCAGCCACCCACCACCGGTCGACGCTCGAGGCGGCGGTTGAATGAACCGAATGGGCAGGAAAGGGAACCAGCCCGCGACTGGAGGAGGAGGAGGAGGGTGACGCACGCAGGCGCGCGCTCAGCGGAAATTCTGGCTCCTCCCCGTCGCCGAACAGCCGAAGCGGCGAGGGAGGCAAGAGGAGGACTGAGGGAGAAAGAAACAGAAAGTGGGGGGAGGGGGCGCGCACGTGACGGAGGGGGCGTTCTGTGCCAGAACGCGCGCCCGGCGCTCCATCCTCCTGCGACGCGTAGCCACCGGGGGCTAATTAGTGACTGTAGAAAGGAAAGGCGCTTCCTCCTCTTTTCTTTTTTTTTTTTTGGCGGGGGAAAGCTTATTTTAACGAATCATCCTGGGTCGCATCCTTAACTGACGGGTTATAGGTGGCCTGCGTTCCAGCGGTTGGATTTAGCGTTGCGTGCTTGCATGTGTCACGTACACGTTTGACATTCCTGTTTCGTGCAATCCTTGCGTGTATTCGGACTGCATACGTGTCAAGTCTTCTGACACATTCCTTCCGTGTTCACAGCTTGGGCGTGTAGCTCTGCCTTTGTTGCTAAAATACCTGCGGTGTAAAGGGGACGTATCATCATCCTGTGTTTCTGCTGCTGTGTATGTTTGTACACTCCCGGGTTCTTTCCTGTTGCTGATTTTTGCGCGCTTGTATGTCGGGTGCTGCTTGCATTGGTACGTGGCTGCACCTTGATTCTCTCCAAAGGTGGAAATGTGGACCAGAAAGATACTGGCCCTGCGTCGAAGTTTCCTTTCAAAACGTTTTGTAGGCGGTTGTCCCTAAGTAGGCACTTTGAAGGAAAGGAAGCACACTTAGCTCTCTTGGCCTGCTGACAACTATTGCAGGCAACCCTGGGAAAGACTGCCAGCTGCTTAAAATGTGCTCTTAACCATAAAATATGGGAAAGAAAGGTTTCGTGGTGGGGAGGAGTTCAAATAAAAGTTGTCATTCAGAGCCACACACTGTATCATATTGCCTGTACTTCTGTTGCTTCTGTGCCAAGAGAAGATAAATAAAGCAATGTGAAATGATGATTCAGCTCATTTCAATTATTCGTCATTGGCAGGGCTTATCCTAACCAATTCCTTGGCCAAATAAGCAGTCAAATAATGAGCTGCTACCCCTTTTATCTCCCAGACAATACAAAAACATGTACACATACGCCCATACATTGTTTTGATCAGAGGCTGGTACAGTTCGGATTGAGAGTGGGAAGTTCATTTGTTGTTGTCCAGAACTGTCTAAGCACACATAGATCAATTGTCTAGTAGAGGGGGCCCCCTTTGAATACCTCTTTAGGGTCACTGTTTCTATACAGTCAGCCCTTTGGCAACCTAGTTTCTGCTTTTAATTGCAGCATGGATATTTTTTCATCAGGATCACTCATGAGGAAGGAAAGGTAAAACCATCATACCTCCATGTACTCTGTGCTGCAGATGGAGATTGCGTGCACTGTACACTTTGTTTTAATCCACTGGAACAATCCAAATGTAATATGTAGTTAGGTCCAAGGAAGACAACCCAATACCTTCTGAGTAGTCTGGAGCAGTGGTTCTTAACCTGGGCGATAATGCCCCCCAGGGGGCGATTCCATTTTTCAGGGGGGCGGTAGAACGAAAAGGGGCGGTGTGGGGGCGCTGGAGCAGAAGGGGGGCAGTAGGGGCCGCTGGAGCAAGCCAAACCTGTGAAGATGGCTGCAGCCTTTTTACAGTGTGCATGAATATATATTTTCCTCCAATTTTAATTTAGTTTCAGACTTTTTGTCTTGAAATTTTTAGTTCCTGCATTTTATGCCCTTTTCATATTTCTTTTTGAGTCTTAAAATTCGCTAGCAACTAAATCATTAAATGTTAATTTTTGGGGGCATTTCATTTTCTTGGAATTGAATTTTGTTTTCAGGGGTCATTGGATTTAAGTGTCTTAAACAAACAAACAAACAAACAAATAAATAAGATATAATAAGAAATAAGAGGGGGCAATGATAACTTCCTCAATGGCTCAAGGGGGCGTTTCTTTCAAAAAGGTTAAGAACCACTGGTCTGGAGTACAAGTCCAATCAGCGCAGGTCATTATCCTGCTGCTGGGGTTGATTAGAGTTTTAGTCCAAAACATCTGGAGGCCTCTGAGATGCCTGGCACTCTGCTGTTTACAGTGGCCTCCAGTGTGAGAACAGACTTTATGGATAAACTCCAACCCTTTTCTTTAATAACGCTTTTATTTACTTCTTCCAGTTCTTTCCTATGGCAGTGTGTAGAGAGTTCATCTGTCATACTTTAGTCCCTCCCTCCTTCTGCTTCCTCTTCTGACAAATGTAGATGTAACTTTTCTATCTCTTCTACTTACTTCTATCATGAGTTAACTGCCTATAATCAGATTGCAAAAAAAGAAATAATACAATGGATCTTGCCATAAATTACTGGAATTATAGAGAGAAGGATGTTGATTTATTTAATAAGTGGGTGGAACATCAATCTGTTATACTATTCATTCATTCATTCATTCATTGGATTTATACCCCGCCCATCTATTCAATTGACTACTCTGGGCGGCTTCCAACATATATAATAACAATATAAAATATAACAACATTATAGACATCAGTAATAAAGTTATTCAAGATGGAAAGAGATAAGAAAAAATGAATCAAATAATAACTGAAGGGAAGGCCTGCCTAAACATCCAGGTTTTCAATTGGCTTTTAATTGGCTGCATGGATCTCAGGAGGAAGATTATTCCAGAGGTGAGGAGCTACCGCCGAGAAGGCCCAGTTTCTTGTTTTTCCCTTCTGGACCTCCCTCAGCATCAGGCTCCTCAGCTTCACCTCCTGACTCGATTGGGTGATACGGGTAGATTTTGGTGGGAGAAGGCATTCCACCAAGTATCGAGGCCCTAAAATATTCAGGACTTTGTATGTAAGCATTAAAACTTCCGCATCAACCTCAAAGGTAGCCCCATGTAGAGTGCATTACAGTGGTCTAATCTCGAGATTACAAGCGCATTTAACAAAGTGGTGAGCGCCCGAACATCAAGATAGGGACGCAGCTGGGCTGTCCGCCAAAGATGAAAAAAGGCGGTACGGACCACTGACACTACCTGAATTTCCATGGAGAGCGCGGGGTTCAGGTGGATCCCCAAGCTGCAAACCTCACTCTTTGCGGTAAGAGTCACTTCCCCAAATGACAGTTTCCCAGGCTGCTCATGGTGGGGCCACCCACCCTCAGGACCTCAGTCTTGTTCAGGTTCAGCCTCAGCCCATTTTCCTGCATCCACTGCAGCACAGACTCCAAGGAGCGCTGAAGGGACAGAACAGCATCCACTGCAGTTGGTGAAAAGGAGATGTAGAGCTGAGTACCATCAGCGTACTGATTGCACAATGCCCCACACTCCCTGATGACCCCACCCAGCGGCCTCATGTAGATATTAAACAGCATTGGGGAGATGATTGAACCCTGCAGAACACTACAATTGAGGCTCCACGGAGCCGATACCCTCTCCCCAAGCTGTATTCTCTGAGGACGATCCCTGAGGAAGGATCAGAGCCAGGCAAATGCCAGGCCACCTAAATCAGAGAGTCTCCTCAGGAGGATACTGTGGTCGATGGTATCCAAGGATAGTTCACAAGACAGAGGGGTGTGTTTGTGTGTGCGTGTGTGTGTGTGTGTGTGTGTGTGTGTGTGTACTTTATGTTGATCTTAATCGTATTGTATCTTCTCTTATGTTACTATTAATATTGCCATAAAATAAAGGATGTTGCCTTTACAGTACATCTGCATCCCATACATTATGCTGTCTACTTCACTTCTACTTCACCTGCACCCCTTTCCCTGGATCAGCTCCTGAAACAGCATAATAGTTGTAAAAGAATTTCCACGCACAGACTGATCGGATGCACAGGCTGATTTAAAGGCACTAGTAGAACATGCCAGCTTCTCTCACTCTTCTTAGTCAGACTATTTACATAGTCATAACAACACTACTCTAATCACAGTGTGGAGGTGGGTGTACCTTGTTTTATTACAGTTAAGTTCAGTCTACTTTGTTTACACATTCAAAGGGCAAATCAAAGGCTAAAGTGCTCAGTAAGAGGGTCAATGACACCTAGAACAGCAAAGGCTGTTGACTGACTCATCCAGGAACTAGTAGCAGGGCTGTTAATTGTTATTGAGTGGAGTTCAGAATTCTGGAGAAAAACAGAGAGATTGCCAAAACTCAAGATGGGAGTAAGAGATCTGATCTTGTTCCATTTAGGTAAGGCATTATACCAGAGGTTCAATTTCATATTCAAATAGTTTGACAACCCAGTTAAAAGGCAGAAACATGTATCTCTAAGCTACATTTATAAGATTGCATCTGATGTGCAGGGGGTCCTGATATACTTAAATGATGGGCAGAGATGTGTACTGCAGCATTCTGAAGATAGCTGTTGTGGGTTTTTCCGGCTTTTTGGCTATGTTTTGAAGGTTGTTCTTCCTGATGTTTCGCCAGTCTCTGTGGCCGGCATCTTCAGAGGACTGGAGTCAGAACTCTGAGTTCCTACTCCAGTCCTCTGAAGATGCCGGCCACAGAGACTGGCGAAACATCAGGAAGAACAACCTTCAAAACATAGCCAAAAAGCCGGAAAAACCCACAACAGCTATCTTCAGAATGCTGCAGTACACATCTGGAGATACTTCTGTTGTTTGTGCAATTATTCACACACAGGTCAGAAAGACAAAATGTATTGCACTTCCAGTTCAAAGATGACTCAGAATATTGTGTTGTGAAATTATAGTACATGCCCATTCATCTAATAGAGGTCTGGCAAAGGGAAGTTGCTGGGGCTGTGTTTCTTGTACAAAATATTTTAAAGTATTTTCAAATCATCGCCTAATTCCTGCTCATAAAGACAACCAGTTGCAGGGCATTTATACCGTTTATGTTTTTTTAAAAAGTGGAGATATATGAGCTTCTTTAAAAAAAAAACAAACAGATTTGGTCTCCAAAACTGAAATCTCAATGAAAGAGATTCACCAGATTTACTAGCTTTTGGTGAGGCTGATGTCTCTTCTCTGATACTGTTAATGGCAGGTGTGTTTCGCTTCTGAAAATAAATGACTTTTCTTTAAATAACATAGCCATGATCATATATATTTTTAAACAAGTATATAATGACAGAAAAGATGGAAGTGTGCTACATCTATTGTTTCAAATAGTTTATTAGGAAATACTGCAGTATAGTTATGTAGAATGAAGGGCCCATTCATCCTGATGATGGTGATGGTGACATCATGCCATTGGTGTAACAAGAATGCATGAGGATTTCATCTTTTATTTATTGGAACACAGCCACTCTAACTCACTCAAGAACTGCAGTGGTGCCTGCCTCTTTTATGAGTCTGGGGTGTGTGCCAGTGGAGCACTTTAACTATTACAGTATAAATTGGAGTCCTCATAAATTTAGAGAAACCCTTGAAAAGTGACTTTTTTAAAGGATCCGATAGCAATGCAGATTTTTAAAAAAAATTTAAGTGCCAGATATTTTAAAACCTATGCTCTTAATGTAGCCTCTGTAATGTAAATTCTAATTCTAGAGCTTTTAATACTTGGACTTAAAGAAGGAATCTATAGTATGCTTTATGAGGCTTCAGAAGAGCTGGCTTTAAATCAAGACTTTATTTAAAAACACATTTATTTTAGGAAAATAATCCATATGGCGTGCTTTTTCTGCTTTACTATTAATATGTATTGCATCTGCTTCTTGGTGTTTAATCAAACAGAACAAACTGCACTGTTGGAGAACAAGCTAAACAAACCCATTGCTATCTGAAAACCCTTCTAGCCTGTATATATATAATATACGCGCGTGTATTTTGCACATGCATTATTAACCATGTTTCTTGTTTCTCATTTTACTTTATGTAGGTCTTTGTTTATAAGGTATGTAAGAACACAGGAAACTGCCTTATACTGAGTCAGACCATGGTTCATCTGGACAGTACTGTCTCCACTGATAGGCAGCAGTTCTTCAGGGTTTTGGAGGGCAGGATTTCACCCCAACAGGAAAGGCCTAGAATTTGATGAGGGACTTTTGCAATGTATTTTCCATGAACTTGGGAGCACTGGCTTCAATGAGATTAGAGTGCACCTTGCTGTATGCAGGATCAAACGGCATGCTTGCCAAGATATTCAAAGCATGCTCTTGATCAACACATCTAGTTCCAGAAGCACAGCAATTCAAATTTCAAATTTAGCAGTTCCCAAGGTAATTGCTTTCACTCAGAATGTTATGAACTTGTAGTCGTAAAGGTTTAAGGTGTAGTCCAAGTTTCATTGAGAAGTAGAAATTTCAGTTGGGGATAACATGTGGCCTCCACATTTCCAAAAGTTGCACCTTTAGGGCTCCCTGCACTACACTCCCCACCAGAAAAAAAGTATCATGCCCTGAGGGTGTAGAAGTAATTTTGCTGTGTTCTAAGGCCCCTCACCCCCTTTTCATTTATTTGGTCATTAGAGGACTTTCTAAGTTTAAAAACTCCCATTTTTGTAATAATAATAATAATAATTGGGGTTAGTTGTCCCACAAACCAGTATGACACATATGGCTCCTGTCCCTGCAATCATCAATTTAGTTCTAATTAAATAAAATTTAAGATTAGAATTCAAATAAGCATAACAGCTGGATATTCAGGCATCACAGGCATGAAGGAGAGATTATGAATTATTTTAGAATTTTTTATTTCCTTTGGCATGAACACAAAACTCACTGAAGTGAGTTAGTTAATACTAACTGGTGCCAATAAATGCATTCCAAAGGCAATAAACAACAGCAGCAGCCACTAATATAGGCTAACTACCTATTTAACAGTCATTTATATTCTTCCAATCCTTACATGGAAAGCATTTAAGAATAAGCGTGAACCATGGATTCCATCACACATTCTGGTTATGCTATGGAGCTTCTCTTCCCTATACATTTGCTTGCCCAGTGTACCCTTCAAACCCATTGTGGAGGATTCCACAAACTTCTGCTTTTTCCCCATGTCGCAAAACTTTCAATATGAGTAACATGCAAGGATCTCTGCATTATACAGCAATAACAACCACTATTGTTCTGTGGCTCTGACCTACATATCCTGGGATTTGCAATCTCTTGAGGGACTTAGAACTTTTTGTTCTAGTACAAGGGAGTTTGCTGCAGCTTCTGTAGCAGAAACTTCAAAGTATTTCATTAAATTACACATCTCACAATCCAGAAGCATGGAGCCATGATAATTAGTGGTATGAAAATGCTATAAATGCATGGTGTAGATACACTGGCAAGAATCCTCTTATTAGGCTTAACACAGAATAGACCTGTGGCCCCCAACAGCTTTTCCATAATGAAAAGGAGCCTCAGGACCTTCAGTGAAGGGAGGTGGTTGTCGTCACTGTAGCTGGTGACATCATCAGCCTTATGCGATGCAACAGGATTTCATCCAGTGGGTCTGCTGTAGCTGAGACTAGCAATAGGATACTGACCACTGTCTATTGTCATATCAGTTTTATTCTTAGCGAGAATTTACAAAATTGACTGGCAGCAAATCTAAAATCTGTTTGTTCTTTTTTATAATTTGAATGTCATTCCCTACTTTTAGATATTGCTAATCTTATTTTCTGGCTAGGAAGATGGCATGTGCAGGATTCATAATAATACTCAGAAGTTGTTTATCATTCTGTTCCTCTGCGGGTACACTGGGGCTATGAAGCTTGCTCAAGGGTGCACAAGCTGGCTCTTTTCCTAGGAGGCAGAGTGGGGAATTGAACAACCAACCTCTTGCTCTGAGCCAGATACACAGATACCATGTGTATAACCATTTTGTGCATCCCCTTTTCTGTAATCTGGCAGTTTTAGTTAAACCTGCTATTTGCTATGTGCAAACTAGGGCCTCTTCTGAGCTAAAATTTCCTCATGATACTTAAGAAAAATATTTCCTGTACATACAATACCACAGATGACACAAGGCTTCTGTTAGTGTCCTTCATTGGGAATATAGCTGTTTTAAACACTGCCAGAATAATAAAAAAAAATTACATTATGACTTCCTTTTATATTTGTTCCTTTAGATGCACTCAGCTGAAAACAGAAGAGAATTTCATAAGTTACAATGAATCTCTTCTTTGGCTTACAGTGGGGTCTTGACTTGAGAACTTAATCCATATTGGAAGGCGGTTCTCAAGTCAAAAAGTCTGTAGGTCAAGTCTCCATTGACCTACAGTGCATTGAAAACCGATTAATCCCGTAACAGGCCGTTTTTGTTCCATTTTAGTTTTTTTCTGGTCTGTAAGTCAATTCTAAGGCTGCAAGTCAAACCTAAATTTTGCAGCCAGAGAAGTCTGTAACTCAAAAAGTCTGTAAGTCAAGCCGTCTGTAAGTCAAGGGTCCACTGTATTTGGTGGGGGAAGGGCAAATCTGTGCTCTCAAAAAGTCATTCATAAGCTAGATCCTATTATAACATTAACAGCAGTGTAGACTTAGCGGCTCAGAAGGGAGAAAAATCTTTATTGTCAAGTTTGTTCAATAGTCTGTTTTAATCTACAAAAGGAAGTTTTCCTCAATGTATAAATATATGTGTTTAACAAGACTGTGTTGTTGTTTTTAATAAATAAATCCCTTAATTTCAGAACCAGTATTGTCAGAGGAACTATCTGGAAAGGAGAATCAGGTCTCATATCATCCTTCCACCTGACAATTGTGTTATGTTTTGATATAATGTATAGAAGAATATAGCACTCTGATGGCAGAAAGTGAGGAGGAATTAAAGAACCTCTTAATGAGGGTGAAATAGGAGAGCACAAAAATGTTCTGAAGTTCAACATCAAAAAAACTAAGATCATGGCCACTGGTCCCATCACCTCCTGGCAAATAGAAGGGGAAGATAGGGAGGCAGTGACAGATTTGATTTTACTTGGCTCCATGATCACTGCAGATGGTGACAGCAGCCATGAAATTAAAAGACGCCTGCTTGTTTGGAGGAAAGCGATGACAAACCTAGACAGCATCTTAAAAAGCAGAGACATCACCTTGCTGACAAAGGTCCCCATAGTCAAAGCTATGGTTTTTCCAGTAGCGATGTATGGAAGTGAGAGCTGGACCATAAAGAAGGCTGACTACCGAAAAATAGATGCTTTTGAATTGTGGTGCTGGAGGAGACTCTTGAGAGTCCCCTGGACTGCAAAGAGAACAAACCTATCCATTTTGAAGGAAATCAACCCTTAATGTTCACTGGAAGGACAGATCCTGAAGCTGAGGCTCCAATACTTTGGCCATCTCATGAGAAGACTCCCTGGAAATGACTCTGATGTTGGGAAGGTGTGAAGGCAAGAGGAGAAGGTGACAACAGAGGATGAGATGGTTGGACAGTGTCATCAAAGCTACCAACATGAATTTGACCAAACTTCGATAGGCAGTGGAAGACAGGAGGGCCTGGCATGCTCTGGTCCATGGGGTCACAAAGAGTCGGAGAGCTATTCCTTCCAGGCTTAATAAGAATCCCTGACAAAAATACTGAGTTAGATAGAACTAAACAAGAACAAAATAGAAGAATATGGCCTAAATAGTAGACTTGAATCTAGATGGGTGGGGTATAAATTAAATAAATACACAAATAAAATAAATCCAATTGCTAGTTGGAAACAGAATAGATCCATTAATCTGTCTGCTGAAGGAGAAGTCAACACATATATAAGTCCTTTCATTAAGTAACTACTCTATCCCTGTGAAGCAGGCAGAGCATAAAACTTCTATGAGTGTTATGTTTGTTGAAAATCAAGAGGTTCCTCCATTTAAAGCACAGTTTCTGTTCATCCATGGAGCCAAGCACAAGCTCCAAATGTGTTTTGTATTGTCTACAGTGATTTTACACAAAGCATAAAGACAATGTGTACAATTTGATTTTTAAAAATGCAATTACTGAAGGACACAAAGCAAGAGGCATAAAACAGATAAGGTAAAGTCCTTGATTATGGTTCTTCTGTTTTCATGGAAGTGCCAAGGTTGAGCAAAGATATTTCACTTGTAGCTATCCATTCTATATACAGAAGCCAATGTGAAACATAGTTGATCCTTACTTCAACACCACCAAGCAGAAAAACACCCTCCCAAAGTAGCCACACACCAAGCACAGCAACATAGTTTAGACAGAGCAAGACAGTTACATAGCACACATATCCATCTTTCAAGAGAAGTACAGTATATCGCCTAGGGGCTCAGAACAACAGTACAAGACAGGTCATATGGTTTGCAGATCTCTGTTCTTCAAAAGAACCCTGTGGACTAGGGACTCAGAAGAAGTGGCTAGGGGATTGTTGCTGGTGTCATCAGTATCTGCCATCTGAGGCAGATACCTTACTCTGTCTAGCTGTAGGCAATACATACTTCTAACTCAAACTGGATCTTAGCCATCAAGAACTCATGCACCAACAGAAGTTGCTCTCACAGAAGATACCGTCTCATCTGCTTTATAGCCCATGCTCTCTGAGCTCAGGACAGCAGAACAGTTTATATGAAATGTTAGTACATCACAAAATAATACAGCACCCAATGAAGCGAAGTGTATGTTACACCACAAACATGGTATTATAATATGAAGTAACACATTAATCACACTTTTCATAATATGACCACAAGGGTTCATGTGCACTGTGTTTCCAATCAGTCACTTTTCTTTATCTCAAGAATTTTCTTAATCCCCTCCTAGCACACTATTCTGCCATTCTACTGAGAAAGTCCTGAAGTCTCTCCTGATTGCCAGCTCTCTCCAGGATCATCTCCATCTTCTACAATTGGATCTTCATTTGGATCAGGTGTCTCTTCCGTAGCAATTATCTCTTTTACTTGTGGTTCCAGGAGATCTGATGTAACAAAAAGAAGACATTGCTCACATAAGTGTGTTTTATCTCCTGGCATTATGAGCTCTCCTTACTGTAGCAACACTGACGCCACCACAGTGCAACCAAGAGCAGCAGCAACTTAGACTGACTTCGTTCTTCCTCTTGTTTCTTCATAGTGTTTCAATAGTATAGGGCATATCTGCACTTAGGGCTTTCTTCTAGTCAATCCAGTGGTATTAATTAAAATACATTTCTGTAACTTTGATTTGAGGAAGGGCACATTCAATCCTCAGCACCTCCAGGTTGCTCCAGAAAAACTGTCTGAAAACTAAAAGCTATTGCCAATCAGTGTTAATAATACCTGCCTTGAGGGACTCAATATAAGGCAGCTTCTCATGTAAGTACATTCATAAGAAATATGTTTAAATAAATTTGTGTGAAGCCTTCTAAGCTTCTGACTCCAGATATATCTACTGGGAACTAAGGACTGGCACATACTGCATGGTCAGATAAATGTCCTTAGGATTTTTAGCTGATGCTAGCAAGGCTATTAAAGCTTTGACTTGGGCTCAAGTATGATATCAGTGGATGGTTCAGAATTGTAATCTCAAAGCATAGAAATAAATAAATCACATTGACAGAATTACTCTTATCTTCTTTAGAAACAGGGGCTTTTTTTCTTTTTACCTGGGGTTACTGTGTTTAGGCAAGACCCTTGCAGGTCAGCAACACATTCAGCCAAGCCAGTCTGTTCCTCTTTAGCAGAAGCAATCAGCTACAGCAAAGCAAAAGACAAATAAGAATAGTTAGTAATCCAAAATTCTATGAGGAACGGGTAATGATTTGCTGCTTGTGACCAGAATTCATGAAGGTTGTACAAAGCCTTCTGAGTACTCAATAGACTTCTTAAAAACTGGGGTTTTTGTAAGCCAGAAGGCCATCATTTCATATGTTAAACAGCTTCTGAAACTCTTCCCAGATTCCCCAGTGGCTTCCAAGTTGCATGGGGGTCTCCACACAAAACCAGGCCAAAACTCCCCTGGATGCACAAAAATGGTTTGTGAATCCTATCTGAATGTTTAATTGTAGACTTTGCATGACATATATACGTTTAGTCGGAATGAGGAAATGGGCACAAGATTAACTTGAGACTACAATCCTAAGCATAGTTCTTCCCTGAAAGTAAGTCTACTGAACTTAGTGGGATTTACTTCCAAGAAGATGTGAATACTATTGGACTATACGTGCATCAAATTAACGTTGACTGATATAGAATTCAAAAGAAGACTCTTGAAGCATTGTGCTGGAGCTCATCAGCATTTAAATGGCTTTGAATCATATGGCTCAGCAATTAGCCTTTTGAGGCATTAAAAATGAGACTTTTCTTGCTTATGATAGTGTGTATCCAGTATGGCTTTGGTCATTTGCTGTCTATTACAACTTTACACACCAGATTCTATAGTGTTTGAGAAGGTCCCCAAAACTTCAAGAAAAGTTGTTTGCGAATGAAGTGGGTAGAATGGATCAGTGAGTCCCCCAACTTGAGCAAATAGAAATTCAAGTCACCACTGGATGCAACCCTTGTTTCTCATGAACATTTGTTCTCTTTCATTCGGGAAGTTTTAATTTTAATTTTTTATTGATACAAAGATATATTTTTCATTTATAAAGCTGTGTGATTTAGAAATCTGGGAATAAACCAGAAGCTTGTATTTGCCTCCCTACCTATATACTAATTCCCTCCTCAAAATCCTGGTTCACTGTGATCATATAAATCCTAGTCTGACACCCACTTCAAACCACTATGATACCCACTTCAGATTCAAGTTTCAAGGCTAAGCGCAATTACTGGCAATCACTGTTTCCCCAATTTGGCTGCTATGACAAACTAAACAGCCCTATTTGGCATTTAACCTGAAAGTACATAGGGCTCAAAGAGTAGTGAAGACAGAGGCATGCACATAAGCTTCAGCCCAGACATCCCAAACATAATGGCAAGTCATGTAGACATTTGTGTGTTTACCATGAAGGCCTTCTTTGACACTGTAAGAACACTCCAATCAATGGGACTTCCAGTGTTTTTGTGACTGGTCTGATAAGGAAACACTGCCAGTCACAAAAATGCTGATATATGCTATTTACAGTAGCTATGCAGACTGTACACTGAACAGGTCTGCAGAACGTCCATGTGAACATGGACACATGGGGGCAAAACTTACCTGAACTCCTACATCACCATCACCTTTTGAGCCTGACATGTATTCAGGCTGAATGCTTGAATAGGGCTAATAGAGTCAGTGAACAGAATGGAGAATAAGAACCCATTTTTAAAGGTCAAATCACAGTTTAGCCATAATGTCCAAAACGAGACTTCTTATTTTTTTGAATGAATATCTATCTTTAATGACTATTTACAATGTACTGTTAATAAAAACAGCGAGATAAAAACCTGTGCAACTTTTGTCTCCAAATTTACCCTCAAGGGAGAGGACACAAAAAATAATGAAAGAAAAATGTATTATTCCATCACATTAGAGTACCAAAGTGAAAATTTCCCATATACCATTCCCCCTATTTTTGGTAAATTTAGACCAGAATCTTATTAGTGTCACTAGTGCAAAAGAGCAACTGTATAAGTGTCTGCTAGTTTGCAGGTTGTCCATTGTACATTCATTTGCACCCTGGTCATGCAATCTATCTCATGACATGAGATGTCTTGCATAATCAGAGTAATGAGCAAAAAAGTTGCACAATTAAAATAGAACAAAATCATAGGTATAATAATGGTGTTGTCCCAGTTTGATCAAGTAACTTAAGATGTTTGTTGTAGTAAATGTTCTTTTTGATTCAGGACTATAATGTGCTTATAATTACACAGATGCAAACCAAAGAATTTAAGTGAAGTACACTCACCTGTCTGGTTCTCTCATACCTGACACATATTATGTCAAAGGTATAGCTGGAATACTTGACAATCCATGGATTTCCAATGGCTTGGATGCATGCATCAAAGAAGATTAATGTGCAAAAAGGAGTGGAAGGACAAACCAAGGCGTGAAATTAGGCTTACAAGAATGTGGAAAATGCATGACAATGCTAACAATATGGTTGCAAAAAGTGGCCTTAGAATCATAGAATCATGAAGTTGGAAGGGGCCTATGAGGCCATCAAGTCCAATGCCCTACTCAAGGCAGAAATACAAATCAATGATATCTGCCAAGTGGTTGTCCTTAAAAATGTTCAGATCAATTTACTATATCAGTCCTTTGTTTTCCACCAAAGAGCCTGCCCAGGTCTTTCATCTTCTTTGTGTACATTTAACGTCACAATACCCTGCATTTTCTGGGGCTTTGTTCTTACACTTTGAACTATTTTCAAAATATGATGACCATTAATTGCAAATTGGAACTAGAGCTGTTTCCTAACTAGTAATATTCGCCTATCTTCTGAATAGAAAAACCTTTATTGAAAATAGAATATACTTAGTAAGACTGCTGAATTCTTTAACACAGAGATTTTTCTTGAAAATGCTAAAACCAAGAGCTTGAAAAAGTTAGCTTTTTAAAACTACAGCTGCAAGGTTCTAGACAGCCAGACTGGCTGTGGGTTTCTGGGAGTTATACCCTACAAGATTAAGTCTTCCAAGTTGTACTTAAATCTAGTCTGTCCTATCCTATCTAGTTCCTCTGGCATCTGAAAAAATAATAATCTTTCAGTTGTGAACATAATTCTATTCAAATTTTAAATCATACATACTTTGTTTTAATTTTAAGTCATTTTCTTCTAGTTTGGAAACTAGTACAGTGACCACGTAGCTATAAAACAGAGAAGTTTTTAGATAACATGTTACCTCAGCCTAACACTGAAAGGCTTTGAGGAAGCCTTGCTTAGCCTCAGGCCTCTGCAACCCCAATTCCAACTTTCAGTAGCTACATGTCCAGCCAGGGTCATGATCAAAACAAGCCTCTAGACTAGAATGACCAATAACTTTCTTAAACTATAAAATAATGTGACTTCTGTTCCACATAATATGGTTATTAGCAAGGTTTTGTAGTGAGAGCAAAATAGCTTTTGAAGTGAGAACAAAGTAGGAAGTGAGTAACGTGGATTAAATGAAAAAATCAGCATCATGTCTTTTCTAGGAATGCACTGAAAACCTACTTATGACAGTGAGAAAGAGGCAAGAAAGAAGTGAGTCAAGACATCAAAAGTAACAGGGCTGGTGAACACACAAGTAAGTAAAACACAGGAAAACAGGGTGAAAGAAAAGTGTTTTGATTTATTTATTTGTAAATACTGGAGTGGATTTAAAGTTTTCCTTTGACATTATTGTGCATTAATATCATGGCAACACATACATTTGTTCTCTTAATAATCACTGTTTAGTATTTCCACTTTCTAGTCCTATGCTACAGTGCACTCAGTTGATATTAGACTACACATATGTCCAACTCTAACTCCTTGGTGAGAAAAGCATCTCCAGTTAACCACAGGTATTACTTATCCTTTCACTCCCCTCATGCACATATGTCCAACTCTAACTGGTGAGAAAAGCATCTCCAGTTAACCAAGGTATTACTTATCCTTTCACTCCCCTCATTAATTAAGTTGAAATATTATGGTTGTTGTGGGTTTTTTGGGTTCTTTGGCCATGTTCTGAAGGTTGTTTTTCCTGACATTTCACCAGTCTCTGTGGCCGGCATCTTCAGAGGACAAACATCAGGAAGAACAACCTTCAGAACATGGCCAAAGAACCCAGAAAAACCCACAACAACCATCAGATCCCAGCTGTGAAAGCCTTCGAGAATACATTGAAATATTATGCTTGTAATTTCTGAACATCAGCATCGGGCAAATAGTCAAACCATCATTATCACACACAGTCACTGACTATTTTTCCCCATTTAAGATTGACAGCTGCTAAAAAGTTTAGACACATACCTGTAACGAAGTGCAAGAGTGGTTGGGGACCAATTAGCCCACTTTGCCTGATATGAGTTAGTGATAATACTTCAAATTAAGTGAGAGGAAGGATGCAGATCTACTACCTATGCACAGGCAAACCAATTTACACACACATGATTACATCAGAAATAAATTCTAGCTTTCCCCAGCATTTGTCCTTCTCAGGCTTAGCTTCATACCTTCTTTTTCTTATGTCCTTTGCTGAGCTCTGGATGGGGGATCTCCATCCCTTCCTCAGGTATGAACACACTTACAGTGAAATCGCTTGTCTCTGTACCATATTGGTTTTTCACTACAAGGCTGTATCTCCCTGAGTCAACTGTACTGACAGCAGTGATGATGAAGGTGGCTAGTTTTCCCTGTTCAAACTTCAGGATGACATGGTCATCTCCTGCCAAATGCTTTTCATTCTTCAGCCACGAAATCTCCGGGACAGGATTTCCCCAGACAGTACAGGTAAGATTAAGTGCCTGCAGGAAACATACAAGGCATTATAAATAGCTACTATGATTTTTTTCCTAAATATGTATGCTCCCTGAATATGTTTACCTCTCTTGAAATAAAACATAAACAAATCTAAACATTACATGAATGCATATCCAAATTTATATTAGGGAAGTGAAGAAACAGTCTCAGTTTTCAAATATTGTTTTCTTCTAAAAGCTTATCACAGACTGCATACATTTTTTCCTTCCAAAGGCTTATCACAGACTGCATATTCACTTTAACACCAATTTAGAAGTTGGAGTTACTTCAAAATTTAGCCCTTCCATTAACAACCTTTATTCTTTGTGTTCTTAGAAGATTTCTTTCATAGTCACAAAAGAGATTGCTAGACTTCCAAATCTTTAAATAACAGTTAAGTGTACAATTAAGGTGCGATTAAAGTACATTGAAGAAGTCTTCATTGGTTTTTCATAAAATTGCACATCTAACTGCCTTGCTTTTAATCCGAAATTGATACTCTTTTTTTCTTTCCCAAGGAACACCTCCTAACCAAAACAGCTGACATCTGTTTCCTGAAGGTCTTATGGGTGATAACCTTCTGTAAAAAGCAAATATGGATTGGATGGAAAGAAAGCACCTTCAATATCCATTGATTAAAGATGCAGCCTTTTTATGGGAAATCTATTTCACGGAGGGAAGAGCAGGAAAAGGTCATATCCTGGTTTGTCAAAGTTCCCTCAGTACATTTCTCTTTATCAGATATATCCCAGAAATAGATTCTTGCATCATATTCAAGGCATATGCACTCTCAGAATGTGATCAAATTCAACACCAATGATTAATTTCTTTTGTAACTATTTATTTAAAGCACTTGTACAGAATGCAAGTAAAATATGTGGTGAAATACAACACAGGAAGAATGGAAGGTGCAAGCCACTTGCACCACAGATTTTTCTGACCTCTCCTCCCTTCTGGAGCTTTTTGTAGTGCCCATGATGACCTTTCTGGATAACGAATGACCATTACTCTAATATGCTGTTGAGATCAGCCCAGAGGTCACAAGAACATTGCTCTTTAATGCATTAGCAAACATGAGTTAAAAGGGGAAAATGAATGCCCTAAGGAAAAGGTTATACATTATACAGTACATCTTTAATACTTATTGTGGGAGCTCTTTCCCATATTCTATAGCAGGATTTCAAGTGATCTGTAATGATTTGGTTGGCAAAACATTGCTGTCTGATCCTTGTTCCCCTAGGTAAACAATGTTTAAATCAACAAGGTTGATATTTGTCTTTTAAAAGCATTATAAGAAAGAAGATATAAGATATAATGGTAGATTTTAAAGGCTTAGAAAAAACTGGCAAGATTAGTGTGAAGTAAGCTTAGTAAGAAAACATCGGCAGAAGTAATAATGATATATATTGTTCTCTACCGCATTCTGTATTTTTTACTTACCTCAGTACTGTGTTCCAAATTCCCTTCCCTATGATCTTTCCTTACCCAATGGAAACCGAATAATAATAATAAAAAAAAGAAATTTGTCTTTAAAAAGCCAGAGCTACAACTAGAGCTTTAGACAACTAAAGCTTTGACACTGAAGTTTAGAGAACAAATAATTCTACTGCGGCAGAGGCACAAACCTGCCCATTGGATGCAAGCCTAATAACTCCAAGTGCATTTACCACCTCCAGCTACTTCTCCAAAGGCAAAAGAAAACATAGGACAGGTGAACTCAGGGGTGGTACCATTTGGTCATAATGCACTTGGCCCAAGATGTTGCTCTCCAGTCCTTCATTCTCTCCCCATGACACATGATCCAAGGTTAACCAACAAAACAGCAACACTTTAGGTGCCAATACTGCTAGCTTTAGCTTAAACAAATATATTCATTTCACTATCCTCTCATATAAGATCTAGGGGATCTCAGTGTGTACAGTTCACAACTCTGTCTTTGATGTCCTCATGATGAAAAGGGATTAGGGGAAGCAGCATGCACTAGGAAATAAAATAATCAAAGTTGTTGAATAAGTGGTTGTGGCTTGGAAACGTTCTGTTTTTTTTCTCTGGCGGATGGAAATGGCAACAGAGATGGTACTCTGCTGGAGCAGAAAACAATTATATTTTACTATGAAATGAAAGATTCAGAATTTGCACCTGATTTAATAACTTCAGTAGTAGAGGAGCTACTTTTCAAGGACAAAGGCAGATAATACCCACGTATCTAAAGGACAGTGCTGGTTGAGATATAACAGGTTTGGCTCAACAAATTATTGTTTATTATAAAAAGAATGAACGCTAGGCTTCCATGCTCCTTGGACTTCATGCAACAAGCTTTAGTGCTTTTGTCATAGTCTCTCTGAACCGCAGTTTCTTTGTACATTTGAACAAATGGGATCCTACAATCACATCCTAGATAGTAAACTGACATTAAATCACAGTTTGCCTGTAATGGGAAACTAAGATTTAAACTATCTAGGATAGAAACTGTGAATTCAGTGTATAAGAGGGAAGAGGTTATGGGAAAGTGCACTTGACTCAATACAACTAACATTTTGGAGTGTGTCAGGTGGGAACTTTAAACCATAGAAACATCCCAGTGCTCTCAGCTCCAGGAGAGATGTGCTATGGGAACTGTAGAAAAAAGGAAATAAGTGCCAGAGAGGCTCTTTAGAAACTCAGAAAGATGGAGAGAGAAGCTAAAAGGTGGCATCCTTATGGTGAATGAACTGAAAGCAGTGAGGAAGAGATTGCCGTGATGACTGAATGGTGAATGCTCAATCCTATGAATTAGAAAACATCCTAGATGTAAGAGAATATCCAGATTGACTTTAAAGAGAGATAAGGCTGTAACATCAATAAATCCTGCCATCCTCCCCACTACCCCAGCTCATGGCCAAATAAACAATCAAGCCTAGATAAATTATTTGAGTTAAGGTGGTTCTGGGCCAGGATCTTCAGCTTGTCTCCAGTTGTATTCGTGGGCAGCAGAATTCAATCACATTAAAGATAACAGAAAAACTTTTTACATTCTATTTCCTCCCTTTGTGTTCATTATTTCTTCCTTTAGAAATGCAGTGCCCTTTAAAAATGCTTAATAACTTACACATATAATCCATTCCAAAGTACTTATCAATCAAGCATTAGAAAAAGCCTCAATTTGCTCTCATTTGTGCTACTGTAGAACAAAGGGGAAGAACTAAAAAAAATCATCAGGCCTCTTGCAGCATTAGGGCTGTCTTGAAAGAGGAAGAACCTTAGGTTTGGGCTGCTATGAGTGAAAATGCAGCCATCCATCTTTGCACAAAACTTGCAAAAAAGATTTGGAATGGAGGGAGCTGAACCAGCAGCTCAGGACATGTGAATAGCCTCCAGCTGTCCATTGTAAGCCTGAGAGTTAAAACCTGAATGCAAATCAGGGACTTCTCAAAAAGATCCTGATTTTTTTTCCAGCTTCCATGAAAGCTTTACGGGCTTGGCTAGCTGGAAAGTTTCCTGGGAACGCTTTCATTTTCACAATAGTCATTTGGGTGAAGGCAAGAAATACATAGAAACAATTAGTCACACCAGGCTGAACCTGTAATTTTCCTGGAGCAATAAGCATCAGTTTAAGCAAAACAAATACAATAACTTGGTCTATATTCATACTGTATAGCTGCACCAGTTTGATGATGTTATGTTCCAAGAACTGCTTTAATTCTCATGGTTCCACCCTACCTAATCCTCCTAGAGAGCTTTAGTGAACTCCTCTGGATTAAAGCACTAGAGCTCTCTAGCTGAGAATTTGAAGTGTCACCAGTCTACAGTACCCAGGACCTTGTGAGCCATGAAACTGAAGCCTAAATCACTAAAATCACTGAAAATGATATCAAACAGGTGTGTAGTATACACACCTTGTCACTTCCACTGGAGGGAGAATAAGAAAAAAGAAAAAAGAGTATCTGTGGGATCTCATTTGAGATTATGGGACCCATTCCATTTACAGTGGTGCCCCGCTTGACGATTACCCCACTCCACAACGAATCCACTTTACAATGAGGTTTTTGTGATTGCTTAATGATGTTTCAATGGGGTTTTTTCATTTGATGATGATCGGTTCCCTGCTTCAGGAACCGATTCTTCGCTAAACGACAATTTTAAAACAGCTGATTGGTGGCTCTCAAAATGGCTTCCCGCTGTCTTTAGGGCGGATTCCTCGTTTAACAGGCACCGGAAAATGGCCGCCCTATGGAGGATCTTCACTGCACGATGAGGTATTTCACCCACTGAAATGCATTGAACCGGTTTTCAATGCATTTCAATGGGTTTTTTACTTTCGCTTGATGACGATTTCGTTCTACAGCGATTTTGCTGGAACGGATGATTGTCGTCAAGTGAGGCACCACTGTATATGCTGATAACCACTTCCTCCTGTCAACATTTTGCCCCTGAAAGTACTCTAAACATGTACAGTCTCATTCACATGTATCTACTGTATATGAAGACTTTTACAAGTAATTCTATAAAATGACTATTGTTAAGAAACAAAGAAAGAGGTTTCCAGATGATCATTTTTTGGATATCCCTGGATTCCCTGAAGCCCTCTAACCATCCCCCAAATTTCTTAGAACTAATTTTTTTAGCAGAGCTTCCTTTTGTGGCGAGATGAAAAAGAATAATATCTGTCTGCCTTTTGCAGGGGATAGATTTTCTGTAGAGTTATTCATATGTTACGCACAGAACCAGCCTATGAACTTCAAACTTCAAACTCTGTGAGGATCGTTGAAAATCATTGGGCTTAAGCAGGTATGTTGGATTGTGGCTTAAAGCTTAACCGTCACTTTCTTAATTTTTATGTACCCTACTTACATCAACGTGTTATAAATGTAGGAAGGTGGACTATATAGCACAGTGAAATTATGTTCTCCTCAAGAGGAGGAATAAGAAGTGCAATCTTTTTTTTTACAAGCCAGAACCCCTGTGTAACTCTGATGCTTTCTCTTTTTTCTTTCATTCATTTTTCTCAAGACAAGAAAGCTGCAGAACTGCCTTTTTAAATATTTAGTTTTTTAAAAAATCATACCTTGCCTTCCTGAATGGTAACAACATCGGGCAGACCTCCAAGCACCCGAGCACGATCTGAAGGGGAGGAAAACACATTCATAACCTTTAATTACCATCTCATGGATAAACTCTGTCCCAAGTTACATTCTCCCCATCTTCCTTTTCTAAAAGCTGCCAGTGACGCATGCAAACTGAGATTCTGAGCATCTGTAGCCTACTCTGCTTTGAATGAAAGTCATATCAAATCTGTTGACAATGAATATTCGGGAAGTTGCTTTCCTAAAGGAATTCTGCTACTACCTCTTATCATTGACAGAAATGGCAACAGGAACAGACTAACATGGCTCTCTCTTCCAAAATTGATAATGGCACAATACCCTTGCCCTCTTGCCCTCCTTGGGAAGCCAAGGGTGTGTTAGGGAACATCTTCCAGCCAGATAGAGGTAGGGATCTTCCAGTTCCTTGCCTCTCTCTCAGAGATGGAAGACACCTTTGATGGATTGGATTATCTCAATGGAAGTAGAATTTTCACACATGCCGGAACAGCAGCAAGAAATGTGCCTTGAGAATTTTCGCATTTATAAGACTTAAGAGGTGTTTCAGGAAAACTGCCACTAAGCTGCCACCAACCATTCCCTATAGTAAGACTTAAGAGGTGTTTCAGGAAAATATATATACAACTACAGTATATGCACATGTTAAAATGTGAGCAGCTAAAATGTTTAAAACTGGGGAAGGGGGAAATTCAGACATGCATTTATCATGAAGAGGGGAATGTATAAATTAAGTAAAACATATAAACACAGAGAGAGAGAGACATTAGAGAGAATATTCAAACACATAACAATCAATGACAATTAAGTGGAAATCCAGGTTAGGAAGGAATGTAGGTCACAGCCTGCCATCTAGGGTGGAGCTGAAGGAAACAGTACTGTCTGCAGTTTGAACAAAGAGAGAAAGGAAACTTGAGTTTCTTGCATCTGATAGGCAAGAGAGAGTTTCTAAAGGCTGCCCTTGCCCTTGGCTTGGCAGGAAAACATAATGCCTCAGGACTAGTTAAGCCTGTCTGGATGGCTGCCTACTCTACCTGATGATCAGGTGGTAAACAGGTATTGCAAAACTACTCTTTCCTTAAAAAGAAACTGTTCTGAAACTTGAAACCTGATTCAGGATTTGCACAAAAAATATATGGCACAGAAATCCCTGATAACAATAACAACTATCTTTCATAGTTATTTTCATAGTTGGAAAAATGAGGAGCATTACATCCTGGTGTCTGAGGAAATGGACCTCCACGAAAGCTCACATTAAAAGATAGCAGTTATTCTTTAAGGTGCCAAATATTTTTGTCTTCTTTATTTTTTTCTTTTGTTTTTGCCTGATATGCTAGCACAGACCAACACAGCTGTCTCTTCTGAAACTCTTTCATCCTAATATTAAAAACTGCATGCTATTAAATCAATTCTGACTTAATAAGTCCTAACACAGACAACAATTAAAAAGACAGATCACTCACTTTTCTCTGCAATGGCAAGTGCTCTGTAATGGAAGCAGATAAAAAGAAAACTCAGTTTCATTTCACACAAAGTCTTGGCAATGGAAAAAGCAGTTACTACTTTTTGCATCTCTTTAAACAGATGAACAAAACTTGTCTACAGAATGCCCCACTTTGACGGCACAATTTTCTCATGACATTCGAAGATCAGAGTTTGGTTAAAAGGCATACTGTAAGATGCATTTCACTTCAACAGAAAAGTCACACTTGCATCTTTTAGAAAATGTAATAAAAACTAAACAGGGAAGTAAGTTTTATCGCAAGGAATTCCATTAGAAAAATTGAATGATACTTACTTTAACCTCTGGAATTCTGCAAAGGCTTCTTCAAATGCTTTAAAAAGAAAGAACAGCATTTTATTAATAGCAGCCCTTATGTTGTCAATTTGTGTGATGATTTCTTTATTCCATTATCTGTGTATTTGGGGTAGACTGGGACATTTAAAAGCCAATTATGGAAGCAATTGGGATTATCTAATACAGAACACATGTGCTAATAATCTGATCTGCTACATATGGTAGACTGGATCCTTTTGCAACATATCCTAACCAATGTTAAGACAGTGGTTTCTACCTAAAGATGGCATGACTTTGCAACAGTAAATCTTGCTTGCTTGGGCCTGTTTAAAGGCAGGATGGGCTGATTTTTCCCCAAAAGTTTAAAAGGGGCATGGAAGAATCAGGGGTCTCTCTCTCTCTAGCAAGAGGAAATGAGAAATTTTCCACCAGACCTTGGACATATTCAAATGGGAAAACTGATTTACTGTTTGAAACTGCATTCCTATGCACATTTGGGAATAATCCCTGCTGAATGGCAGAACCTGTTTCTGAGTAAATATACAGAATGAGACATGTCTGCCACAAGACATATCCTGATTGCTATAATCGCCAATACTGGAAAGTCTGTTTCAAGTGCACACAATTCCAGCTGTCCACAAGTGCAGTTTTGTGGGGTTTTTTAACTGTGCTGGTCTGCTAAGATAATAGAAACCAAGGAGGATGAAGGAACAGGCAAGGCTGATCTCTTGTATAAGAAGTATAGTCTCCAGTGGATAAAAGCCATGTTTTATGGAGGTTTATATTTATTTAAAATATTTATATGCTGCCTTCCTCCTAAAGGGTTGTGCACTAAAGCACGCAAGAGATAACAGGGAGCTCACATGCAAACATAGTATATATTTATGTATTCTAACATTTCCCAGTGCATTTTCTTGTAATGCCAAAACAGCATTTCTGCTTTGATCATGTATGGTCTGTGCTGCTGCATTAGCCAGTGGTGGCATGATACCCTTCACCCTTCTGCTGCTGAAGCATATCTGAAAGCAAGTAAATCCCCATCTCTCCCTTCCTGTCACTCACTCTTTTACACACTGTCACATATTCATACACAGACAGAAAATCAGGGGATATTGTGGGATGTGATTAGCCTTTTTAATCAGAATCTCAGCAAATACTCTTTTTTGCATTTATTAGTGTCCTTTGGCATCGAGGTACTTTGTTATAAGACCAAAGTGACATAAGATGCTTAGCTTCACTTCATGCTAAAGTCCTGTGATTGAAAACAGTGTTGGTTGCTTAACATATTTTAATTAGTTGACCATTATCTTCTTGCCTAAAGATTTTACACATCCATACAAACCGGGATTTACACCACGAAAACTGCACCTACAATCTTAGCAGCTCTGTGTATTTTTGAGATTCACACATCAGAATCATCAGCGACTGAGACAAAGCCTATAGGCCAAAGCTCAGGCGGCAAAAAGGCATATGAAAGCTCATACTGGGTTAACTGGAATTACGGTGGGAACATAACACCAGAAGGTTACCAGCAGTACTAGCAACACTCTATATATTTAAAAAAGGTGTTCTTACTGGCCCTCACAATTATGTTTTCATTTTTGCATGAAAATAAACAGAGATAGCAGTAAAGCAATTTATTTACCTTGTCCAGAAAGATCCACCATTTTTGTGTGTCCAGTTTTACCATCAAAGAGCTCCATTATGTATTTCCCTTTGTCATTGGGTGTTGGCTCATTGATTTGCAGCCAGATTTGCTCCCCAGTGACACCAGTCTTGACTCTCTCTGTATACTTAATTTTGACGTCACTAGACAAATTAAAAGAACACTGTATTATTACGGCAATGGAGATATCATTGGCTAACTTGTCCCCTTTAATTGTGTATATGCTGGAATTTTACTAGATAATTTCCACAAGCACAAAGAATCTTTGTTGGTTTTGCTGTAACGAATTAACATGTCCCCTCTCCCGGAAATGTCATTTCCCCTCTGGAAATATTCTAGTCCTACTTTTTTTCAAGGAGAGACAATGACACATGCTTCAAAGGAGTTCTTTTCAAAATAACTTCAAAGGACTTTTTTTTTTAAAAAAAAAAGCTTGCAGCAGCCCTACCTGCTAAATATGAACTTCACTACATACTATTCCCTTGCAGTGCTAGCCTCACTCTAATAGGAGTGATGGTTCAAGGTTAGCTCTATCAGTGGTACTTCTTATGTGCTTAAGGCAAACTGTTGGGTACATAAAGGTTTCCAGCATAACAAGCTCTACTTAAACCTTTCTTTCTTTCTGGACCAAGTGGCAGAAAACATGCTGCCTTGCCTCTGTTGGCTTAAGGAAGGAGACAATTTTCTCTGGAACTGCATTGCCTGGTGAAAGGCCCCCACCCTCCAACTGAGGATATTATGGCTGTTACTTCTATAATTATAAAATGGGAATGGGAGATTCCTGGGGTGAAAGTGCTAACTTGGGTAACCAAACCCTTTGGACCTTCCTTTGCAAGAAGGTCCCTGGAAGTGCTGTTTTGTTTACAAATATGCAAACTGAGCCTAATAGGAAGTACAGTTTTTTTAAAAAAAAAAATCCATCGGAATGCTCAAGTGCCTACTTGACATCAAATATCCAAAGAAACCCCTGGATGCTTAATAATATTAGTATACAGAACTAGAAATGCTTCTTCTAAAAACTGAAGTCCGTCTCCTCTGATCTTTTTTACATAAACACAGAGACCTAAATTACATCAGCTGGGAAGGTGAAATATATATCCCCTCTCAGTATCCACAGAGGCTAGGCACTTCTTAGCCATTCAGAGAGGATGGGCTTCCCATTTAATCAATAAACCTCAAAGGAAACGAAAGGCCAAGTGAGCAGCCCAACCTGCTTTGAGCAATTCTTCTAGCCCCACTGTGCCCTCCTGTCCACCATCCCCAATCTTACAGTAACATTATCTAATATTCCCCAGTAGATAAGCTTCCTTTCTGCAGCAAAGACTAGCTTGGAAGATTATGTTTATGAAAGACAGCATGTAAGGGGTAAAAGTGAACTCTCTTCGGTGAACTCTGCAGTGCAGTGGGACACACCCGACAGGTCAGAGGCTTGATACTATTCAGCTCCTCTGCACAGAGATTCATGAATCTCTGAACAGGTAAACCAACATAGATACAGAAACACAGCCATTCACTTTCCATCTGTTCATGACTTTTTCTAAGTTTCCAGGGGCCTTGAGATGGGACGCCCCTTCTATGCTGGAGGACCACCAGCGGTCATTTTAAATTTCCCATCATGCCACTGAGCATGGTTCAGGTGCACTATGGGAATTTTAAAATGGCAGGTCGCTCCCAGATGCAGCCTCTCAATGCTGGGGCAGGCACATTGAGGCAAGCATTGGACCTTGTTGGCCTGCTTGGTTCTAAGCAGTCGCTAGAAAATACTGGTGCTGACATTACACCTGTCCATTTTGATCGGTTGTAAGAAGTATTGAAACCCCCCTTTTCTCGTTAGATGGATAGCATTTGACATACTTGGTGTTGCCAGATCTCAGAGCCTTAAATGAAGGCTCAAGGAAATTGATACGTTTCAGCAGTTATCTGGAAGAAGAGACCAATCTCAGGGCAAGTAGTACTGTAGGAGAACATTTGATTTCTGTATGTGAGTTGTAATTAAAGCCCAGGAGTCCATCTCAACTCATTCTTACTTGTTCCCAAGATTTACTGGCTCAGCACACTGTGTGTTGCACTGGAGCTCAATCCATGCACCAAAAAAACTAGGAGTGAAGGGAAGAGACTGGAAAACATAACAGGTGGGTGCATGAACATGGGGCACTTGAGCCATCTGGAGCAAGGCAGGGAGTGGAGCCCCAGTGCTACCATTCATGAGCCTTCCTGTTGGAGAAGCCCTGACAAGCCAGGGAAAGAAAAATCCATGCACTGTCAATGAACCTTCCAAAAACCGAGCTCTTTGGATTAGAGATGGGGGTGTCTGTATACGAATAACTCTGCATAGGTGGCGTTAACAATGGTCCAGCCCCATGGGGCCAGACGGTCCACTTACCAGCGAATGCAGACGGTGCGATTCTACGAATGGCTCTGCAGCGCGCGATCCGCTCAACACTCCTGGCAGGAGGCAGGAGGACAAGCCTGGCTGCAAGGTCAAAGAGTGGCGAGTGGATCGTGTGCTGCTGAGCCTTTCGTAGAATTGTGCCATCTGCATCCGCGGCAGATCAGTGAGTGGACCGTTCGGCCCCATGGGGCTGGACCCTTGTTAACGCCACCTGTGCGGGGATATTCATATACAAATACGAATACTCCCAACTCTGCTTTGGACACACTAGAAGAAGCTCATACACATTAGTATTGTTCGCCCACATAAGACAAGGCTGTCTGACAATCAGTGTAATTTGCATATTTTCTCAGGAAGTGGTACAGGAAGTCTACATTGTGTCTTATTGACTCTCTTAGATATCTTTTGCAGTTGCATATTTTTACTTTTCCATCCCACCACTATAACACAGTAATAAATAAAAGGGAGAAGGATGAGATCCTCTTCACCCAGTGAAAATCTGAAATGTAGATCCTTATCGTGATGGTCCCTATAGTCATTCTCCAGAGGACATGCAGGAAGCTGCATGGAGCCATATTAACAAACCAGTTCTAGTAGTTTCTATACACACCTGAGGTGATATATATTTTTAGAGCTAATGGATTGTAATTGTCCATCCAAACCAAGCCATGGCAGAATAGGTTAGGTACTAACAGGCTATATATTTTTACTCTGAAAATTCACCTGCCCCCCCCCAGTTCCTGTGGGGTTTACAGCTAAACTCTAAAGCAACTGGGAAAATCAGGGGTGGAAGTGGACATAAGATATCATTCTCTCTATTAAATCAAAATATCTGGTTGTTTCAATCTGACAAGCCCTGGCTCCTCTACGCTACTATGTTTACCTCTATAATTGGAAAGAGTAATTGGACGTCCCAGCAAATTATGGCTATGTTCCTTTTCGGTCAGATTGCACATGCAATCCCCATGGGGCAAACGGTTTTATTTTTATGGACTTTGTACAAAAAAATACCAGGAGTTCCTTATCCAGTGAGGTATTTGTAATGGAGATCTCTGCTTGCATAAGGGCACAGTGCTTCTGCAAGCAGAAGATCCCATGTGACACTCCACTGGTGTCAAGGATTCCAACCTATGTGTCAAACTAAGGTTGTAACCATATGAGCTTTTATTTGTGAGTAAACACTATAGAGGTCAGCAAAGAGTTACTTATGAGTAAATAGGATTGTATCTAGGATTGTGCTACCTTTTACCTAATCTCACTTGCTTCACCTTTGGGTCTTTAGAGCTTTTCAGAACAGCCCTAAGTATTGAATACCGACTGTGTCCTCTCTGTGGCTACTGTAGAGAGTGCATAAGAAACCAATCAGCTATTTGTGTTAAGCTGATCCCAAAGCAGCCTGGGTGACATGCCTCCATGTGAATATCTCCTAAATTTAAACAGGTATAGAATGTTCCTGTTGGAGGATGTGTCAATCACCAGTAAGCACGCTTTTACTTACTTGTGTGACCAGCTGACTCTCAGATCTTCCAAGTAGTAGTTAACAAAGGAATATAACCTGATGCCCTCTTCAGTGCTTTGGATTTTCAGGTCTGTTGCAGATAAAGCTGAAAATGAAACACAAGTTTTTTGTAGTCTCTTAGAATCACTCTCAGAGCAGCACAAGTGAGTCATTCATCAGGAGAAGGAATTAATACTCACCAATCACTTTGCATACTTCCGTCATCAAATCTGCAAAAGCTGCGGAAACAAATCCAGAGACTGAGACTTAGTGTTCGCAGATCAGCCCTGCCTGGTTATAACTGAACGCTGCCCTGAAGTTCCCTGGATAATCTGGCACATTCCCACAAGTGGATTCTTGCAGGAAATCTAAGCTACTTTATGAAACAGGTCACAAATATTCCCAAGGAGCCTGTATGCATCCTCCTTGGTTTTAATGTCATTTGTAGCTTGATTTGTTCTGTTTGGTTACACATCAAGAAAACATTCCTTTGTAGCATATAATGAATTGGTAATGCATTCATTCTGTGCTTCATTAATTAAAACTTTCATTCTGTGCTTAATTAATTTAGGCAGCTATGCAATCAGTTTTAGGAGTTGTACCCTAAAATCCCCCACAATGTTGCAGCGTATGCAGACACTGACAGCTGTAGCTTGGAAACTGAGGAAGCGGATCTGAGTGTGTCTCCCACCCCACTCCATCCCCACCATCGTATCTTAAGGGCTCTTGGATTCCATTTGTCCAACATAGTTAACACATTGTCAGACGCATCTCCCACAAGGGGAAAAGGTCATCTGTTACCGTAACCCAAATTTGCCTCAATCCATGCTGAGCAAATGAAACCTGTTTTTGTTATATAGCTGGTCACTGGGAGTTAAGCACACTCTTCTGGTGTCTGATTTTACAGGCAGTAACTCTGAAATATTTACATGCCTGGAGGGATAGCATTGTAAGAAGAGACAAGGCAGATTTGGCTTAAAGCATGATCTGACCCTGAGAGTATCATATTAGCTTAGTTTACCCCTCATTTCCTTCTAGAGACAGACATCAAGTTTACAAACAGAAAAAATTCATCAGTATGAAGTCCATGGAGAAAACTGAATGCTAAAAGTTACAATAACAGGCTAATATACAGAGAAATCTTTAAAGAGGAGCTGCACCAGTGGGGGAACAGGACACAAACTCCTTTGCACCCCAGTTATGGGCATAAAGAAATCTACAGATGTAAACCTACTGTTGGTGCAGAGTCAGTCCTATTACAGTATAAGAAAAAGGTAGATGACTGCAAGAGGCATATGAGGGCTCACAAAAACATACCATGATTTTGGGAGAAGGAACATCACTTGGAGCAAAGGAATATGGTCCTTTGCTGACATTCCTGTTGCTAATAGGTCCCAAAATGGAGGGGAGAAGAAGTAGCTCCTGTTAAAATACCTCAGTAGTCTCATTTTTATTTTTCATTCTTCAGTTTTTGTCATATATACCAAAACCAATTGGCTGCCTCTCTGAAATTTGTTTCAGTGCTTGGATCTGCTGCATTCAATCCCCCTCCATTTTCCTGGGGACAACCTGGATTGAATCTCTGAGCAAGGTGGCTGCTGCTCCATCACCAAAAAGAAGACATCACCCGAAAGGAGGACAAGGAACATCAAACAAGAGGGCATTCTTGTTAATGCTAATTTAAACTAAAATATGCAGATATGGCAAAAACCCATGGTTACTATAACTTAAATGGAAAGTGAACTGTTTACCATACTGTGCACAATTGTGGCTTTGTAAACACATTGAGAGACAGCATTGAGAGAAAGATGGGATATAAATCAAACAAATTAATCACTGGGTTTAACAGGGATGATTGAATCAATGCCTCTTGTTTTCCTGCTTGGCCAGGGAAATTTATGAGGAATGTTGGGTGGCCAGCAATTTGTCACAAACAAGGGACATGCACCATCAAAAAAAGAGAGGAAGACATGTATTCAAATGGAAGAATGTCCTCCCTAAAGGAGGACACATGGCCACTCTATCCATCAACTCCAGCCCGAAATTTCTGAGGGATCTGTTCCTGGAGCTGGCATAGCACACTGGTTTCAGTGTGGGTGGGATTGAAAATCTGCTAGGCTTGTAAAGCTCTTCTACACCTTCCACTTTGACCACCCTGAACTAGTAGAATTTCGGGAGTGGTGAGGTAAACAATCTTCTACCTCACTCCTTTTCCATAGAGGACTGTTTTCTTAATAACAACACTGAAACAATTTTCAAATACATAGTCTTGTTAGTCTGTTCCGGCACAATGACAAATATAAAACAGTTTTAAAAAGAGGATACTGTGGTGACTTAAATTTGTTTGAGTTTTCATGGATTACAGTCCACTTACTTTGAAACATGGAGTGAAACATTAGCCACAGGCTTGTATCAACACCCTCAGACTGCATTGCTTGTGTTAATAATGCAACCACCATTTTAAAATGTCATTTTCTGTGTCTGCAATTATCTTCATTGGGTTCCCACAACCAAAATATATATTGTATATGATCTGGTGATTAAATACTGAACTTCACCTCTCTGAGGAAGTGGACGGTAATTATGGAAGCTCACATTCAAACCTTTCTTTAAGGAGCTACAATACTTCTGTTCTTATTTTTATTTTGTTTTTATTATATATAATGAAACAGTGAATGAATTGTATTACATGTAAACACATCTCTTCTGAAGAAATAATAATTGTAACCATTTTACTTTCTTTCATTACCACAATCCTATGCATACTTATTTGGGGATACCATATTTTTCCATGGATAAGATGCCCCCATGTATAAGAACACACACCCCCCCCACTTTTCTAACCCCAAATTTCTTTCTTTGCAAGAAAGTGGTGGGGGAAAAATTCCAGCTTTCACCCTCCACGTTTTGCAAAGAAAATGGAGGGGGAGAGCAGAAATTGCTTTCCCCTGGGATCAAAGCACTTTGATCCCTCCCTCTTACTTCCAAGTATAAAATGACCATCAATTTTTCTTTAATTATTTTAGGAAAAAGTATTGTTTTATACATGGAAAAATACGGTAAGCCAATTTAGTGAGAATTGGGATAAATCCAGTGTTAGTTTCAACTAAAGAAAACTCAACAGGACTTACAAGTCCCATTCATTTGAATGGTTCTCATCTGGTTGCAACTAACAATTGGATGTAGCGCCTTATTTCCAAGCAAATGTCCTCAGGATTAAGCTCTATGCAATTTGAGATGGCATTACCTCCTTCCACAAGCTTCAGTATACTCTTGTCCTTTCCTCTATCATCTTTCAGTATTACTTCATATACACCAGCATCTTTCTTAGAAAACTGTAAAGAAAATATTGTTTAGTAGCAACATAAAAGGCATTCCTGATACAAGGAAGACAGAAAAAAACTGTAGAAGAGAACATCATATAAAGTTATAGCAATCAATATTTATAATTATTTCTATTTAATTAACTCCTCTGTTTTTCCTTAAAGAGAAACAAGGATGTCTTTGTTCGTCAAGAATTCATGAGCTTAGAATAAGACAAAGGTAGATCTGAATCTACTGCTTGACTTTATGACCAATAATGAAAAGACTGAAACTTTCCTTGCTACTTTTGTTTTCAACAAACAGAAGTGGCTACATACTGTTATTGCTAGAGTTTTATTTTCAGCCTCGCATGCTGTCTGTGTGACTGTGAGGGCCTTTTCTTAGGTAGGCTGATTGTCTTTCTGTTCTATATTAACCAATCATTCCTTCCGGCCCTTGAATTCAAAGACAACCCTACCTATCTGCTGAGTGTTCTTTTCCCCTCTCTTAGCAGTTTGTTCATTTGCTGTTGATCTGTTCAAGTATGCTAAGTTTGTGTGCAGTAAAGAAAACAGAATACATGAGTCTGCAATTTCAAGCAGTTGTAAGTAAAGAAACATTTTTTTATTCTTTCTCCTACAAATGTCTCAGATTTATTGAGACTTTATGTGCCAGTTTATGAGAAATGGGTGGACGTGGGGGAACTTGAAGATATTCTCCTCTGTGGATGTCTGTACTTCTAAGGCACAGGAAAGAGGAATTTTACCAGCAATTCAAAGCTCTGCAAGAGTTATGACCCAACAGCAAGTCCTCTGATACAACCATACTTGAATATTTGCTGATTCTTTCTTCCCACCCCAAGTAGTAATTGGATGGCGACATAAAGACATTCAACATCCAACCTGGTTTTGCATTTTTGTCTCTCCTTCTTGTTTTTGGTTGGCATATTAAATGGTGTTTAGATTTCATTTGCAATGCTGCTGCCTCTGAATTTTGCAGTGTTAAGTGAGAAGATAGTAATATTTACAAATTAAGGCTTTGCGGAAAAACTTTGAATTTTCTTGCTAGGTCTTGTTACCCTGATGAGGCGTACATTACTTAACATTACCCTGCAGCCCTCTGCTGATCCTCAGGGATAATTCTCCCTGAAGATCAGCAAACTCAGATTGTCAGGGGGATAAAGAGAGAGAAACAGGTTAAAGATTTTGCAAAAGTTGAAATTGCTTTAATAAGCTTTGGGGATGCATTAGATAAATGAATCAGTTAAGATTCGAAAGCAAAACATGTTATGCAAATTAAAAAGACAAATGTGAAACACCCAACTTTGCCCTAACCTATCCAATCTACTTCTAGTGAGAACTTTTGCTTATAAGTAGATTAGAATGGGAGGAAATTGACTCTCTTGCCATTTAGATCTTATTTTTTAACAGGTTGAGAGACCTGCAGACCATTGATAAATGAGAGATTTCTTAGCCAGAATTATGTAGACTTGATGCGTTCATACAAACATTCTAATAATATTGATGAGGGTGGGATTATTCATGACAGTGGCCTTCTGAATTAATGAAGTCTGGGAAAATGGCCAGAGTGACTTCCTTTTCTTTTTCCAGTCATTTAGCTGAAGAAGAGTTCTTTGTTCAGTTGACGTTTCCCCTCCCCCCTCCTCTTCTGCTATATTTGCTTCCTATTGGGTAATTATCTCTGCCTTTTTATTAGCCTTGTCATCTCTTGTGTCTGTCACTGGCTATTTCTGCACTAGCAGTTTAGTGTGGAGTTGCCATTCTTTGTGCATTCACTTGTTATGGAATGTCCAGTGACGTCTTTCCAAATGAGTGAATTCTAGTAATTTTTTTAAATGTTCTTTTTCTCTTTTCAGCATATCTCCAGCCATGATTGTGATGATGTTTTAAAACATACAATGGTGAATTGTCACCATAGTTTTTAGGCCTTTAGGGCTTCACTGCCTTCAGTTGAAAGCTTCCTGCTTGTCAGTTTTACACCTTTTATTACTCCTTAATCAGTGGCAGTGAGGTTACTGATGAATGCCTTCTTAATTGATCTATGAATATTATCAGTGTCTATTCCAAGAGGAGCAATTTAGGGATTGATTTTTTTTCTAGTTAGCTTTCCTTTCAGATCATGCCAAATGGAAAGAATATAGTTTGCTATAACTGAAAAAAAATCATGCAATGTTGTTAGAAGGGTAAAAAAAAGAAACAGCCATGGCATAGATTAGTCTTCTTCTGGTGTCCATTCCTAGTCTAGAAAAACATTTAACCAGTTTACACTTCCGGAAAAATTTGGCTGTTGGAAAGTGTAGAAGGTGTAATGGACTGACTGATAAGATTAATATAATACCATAATTTCCAAAGCTGCAGCAGGCAAAGAAGCAGGAGCAGCAGCTAAATTTCAAAAACACGCAGTGGAGTGCAATACATAGTTCAGCAGTGGGGGATGTTTGGCCCTCCACATGTCAATGCACTTCAGCTCTCATCAGCCCCAGCCAGCACAGGCAATAGTCTGTGGATGACAGTCATTGTTCATCAATGTATCGACAGTCTCAGTTTCCTTACCCATCCTGCCACCAAGGAAATCTAGCATGTTGATCAGTACATCGTATCGACAGTCTCAGTTTCTTTACCCATCCTGCCACCTCGTTCAAGGAAATCTAGCATGTTGATCAGTACATTTACATGATGTGTAATAAATGCATCAGTGATTCTCATATTTTCTGTCAACTGCAGATATTTTTCTGCCAGAAGCAGACTGCTAAATTGCATCCTCCCACTCCTACATGCCGTCACAAGGACAGACACTTGAAAAGCACTGCTGTGCCATTCAGACATAACCTTCTGCTTCACTTGTCCCTTGAATTGCAGTATCTGAAACAGCCCCCTTCACTTTGCTGTAATGCAGTATTTGCCTGACTTGTACTACATGGACCACATACTGTACACATCTTTTGCCCTCTAAAAGTGATGTTCCTTTTGGAACTCGGCCACATCCAAAGTTGTTTCCCTCAAAGGACAAGGGACCCCTTACCTCTGTGATCAGCAGAGTGCACGCACCATCCTTAAAGTCATGCTTTTCATCAACCATGATTTCCCTTTCATCCTTGTACCAGACAATGTGTGTTTCCTTCTTAATATTAGCCACCTAAAACAAGAGAAAATGGTGGTAGGTATGCCTTCATATTTACAGAAAAAGTATTTAAGCAGAAGATTGCATCAGATGGCTGGCAAAGTCTCAAGAAACCAAGGAAATCTATTCAAGCAATTTGTTCATTCTGTCCTCGGTATTTCTCTTGAGACAATTACCACCCTAATTGTAAATAAATTGCAAATTGTATTAAAAGTAAAGATCCTCTTGCTCATTTCACTTTTCACTATCTTCCATGCAGCATAATTTCAAGGTATAACAATATTTGTGTGTACTGAATAAAGATTGTGACTTTCACTTACGATGTAATAGAGATGTCTTTGGCCTTGTGAACATGCCTAAGAAGTATATGAGACCAACAGCAGAACTTATATCTCTTGCGTTTGCTTCTACCATCACACATTATCCAAAACGCAGTGGTTCCTTACCTTGCATTTCAGTAACACATTACATTCTGGAGTAACTTCCCATCCCAAATACTCAACAAAATGTGGACCTGTTTGGAATAATTTGTGAAATAAATCCCTTCAGAAATTATGTTATAAACAAAATCAATCCACTTTCTCTGCCAAAAGAAATTCTCTATATATACGTTTTACATTGTTGAGATTTTTATGTTATCATGTTATAAAAAGATTTTTAAAAATTAAATATTAAACATATACAACTGAATTAAATCACTTGATACTTATATAATCATCTTCTGTTTATACAGTGTGTATTACCTTGTTTCCTGAACCATTCTTGCCTCTGAAATTCTGCTTCTTTTTGTAGTTTCTGGAATACTAAATTAAAAAAAATACAAATAGATAAAATACAGTATAGTTATCCTTGAAATGAATTCGTAAGAACTCAGACAGACACCTCAAGCTAAATGTGTGCATAATTTTTCACTCAGGTATCTTGGTGAAGCAAGGAGTACATACTGGATGCACATAAATCCACTTACAGTACAGAATGGGATGTGCTTCTAACTATCTCTTTGCATGGCAGAGATTTTAGTGGAATGCACATTCCAATCCACATTCTCGTGGAACTGTTTATGTACAAGTGCCTCTTAGACCCAAACTAGAAGATACAGTTAGCATGTCAATAGAAATGGAATGTACTAAAGTGGCAAAAGATTTCTGATTGTCCTAGAATGAGCTTGCCTTTTGCAAAATAGCTTGCTTTTGTTTTGTGATTGGTCACCAGGAGGTAAACATTCGGTGCTTTGAGGAATTCTGTATCTTAAAGGAAAACCTTGTAACAGCAGGAAATATTAATTTCCCTTAAAAGCACAAGTAAAGAGTTCCAAATGAAAAAAGGGAGAAGCATGTTTCAAAAGAGCAGTGATTTTTACAAAAAGAAACAACATAACATTAGAGCCACCTTAAATGAAGCTGTGTTTGTCTTATGTCACTAATCTGAGCAAAAAGATATAGTGTAGAAGTCTGATATCACAACAGAATTAATATCACCAGTCCTCCATTAATCTCATTCACAATGTGACCATCCCCAGCATATCTGAACTGCATCCAAATATTAGTACTGTAAAGAGCCATCCAACTCCTTTAAACTAACAAATGTTATTTGCTATAAACTTTCAGATACTATATCTGATAAGTGAGCTGCTGTCCATGAAACCTATGTCCATTTATTTATTTATTTATTATTTTATTTATTCTATTTATATCCCGCCTACCTGGTCTTGCGACCACTCTAGGCGGCTTACAACACATAAGACAACCAATAAATATATAAAAAAAGAATTATTACATTAAATAACCAATTCTTCAAGATGGAGAGAAAATGAAAAATAAATCACAAAAGAAAAAGGGGAGAGAATCAGATTAACTGGAGGTCTTCCTGACAGCTGTGTCATTTCCTTGCCTTTTTCCAGCTGTTCATTTTCAGTGCCTTACTCCTCCATTCTCCAGCTCATTTTCTCTTCAGTTCCACTTGCTCTCACCTGTTTCTGTTCATAGCCTGGGGCTCATGGGTGGTGGGTAGCAGGTGGGCAGGATTCTGTTTCATTGTTTAGGAGGTGTTGCCATCCACTATGGCTCTATAGAAGCTCCTACCTACATCTCCTCACTCTACTGATGGTTGGTGATTCCTTAAATAGCTAGTTCTTCAAGATAATGGGGAAGAAAAAGTTTAAAAAAAACACAAAAGAAGAAGAGAAAAGAAAAGAGTCTAGACTTTTATAGTTCTCTTGCTGTAGACGAATGTAACTACCTGTTAGACATCTTATTATTATTACATTTTGACATGTGTTAAAAACCTATTTTAAACTCTCTGAGTAGTTATGGGTCTTGTAGTCAGTCACTAGATCTCCTTAAACTAGTTCCAATATAGTAATATAATGCCATAATGGGAAAGAAATGTTTAGTGCTATGGGTTTTGGGAGGAGTAGAATTATGATACTGTAAACTGAACACAATCTTTGTTAAAAGCAGACAGAATTGAATTAATTATAAAAATGAATTATTATTATTTGAAGAGGAAGATCCATGCTAATGCATAGTCGTATTGTTCAACAATGACCATCAACAGTAAATATTGATCATACAGATCCTATCTATGACAATTGCAAGCTGGGAAGCCTTTATGAAATACTATGGCTAAGCTCCAAAGCAACAAAGCTTTTGTGCACAGTACAAAGGGTGCATCGTGTAAGAGCATTTGTGTCCCCTACTCAATGACCTACCTCTGAACTGTCTACACATGCTTTATAAATGCATGTATATTTCCGAATACTATGCTATGTAATATGGAAGGCTGTTACTCAGAAAAACACTAGTCTCATTCAAAGGAAGGAACTAGCCATAAATATCTTTGGTTTCTAGGCTTTAAGTAAGTCTCCCTGTCCAGCACTCACAGAATATTGATTTATACAGAACTTTCTTAGAGAAATTCCACAGTTAGCTGTACAATACTCTTCAGGACATTATGTATACCAATTATTATTCTGTGGCGCTTTTGAAGATTAAGATTACAATTGATTTTCTAATTTATAATACTTTCCTTGTACCATGAAAATGGCAAATAAAATTCATAATGGCTATATAAAATAGGATAACAGTATTATCCAATTTTTTCCCAAGAATGAAAATTTGTTCAGGTCAAAATATTTAACATTAAACCATATTCTTCTGTTGTAAAAACGAAAATACAGTAAACATTTCAAAAGATCTTACCATCACCAATATGAACAAGACTAGATTGGTTGGCTGCTTTTCCATCCTGAAGTTGGAAAGTATAGGTGCCTTCATCCTCATCTTCCAGTCTATCCATAACCATTTCAATCATACCAGAATTACGGTCAATCTTCATCTTGTATTTCTTCAGCAACAAACATAAAAATGGGCAGAAAAATCACCTTCAGAACTTCCAAAAAGCAATGCTTCCCAAATCTCCAATGATTTGAAGACATTAGCTCAACAACTACATTTTGGGCCCCTGTGTCACCTCCTCCCTGAACCAAACATAGGGTGAGCCTGTTCAGCAGACACTAGATTTGAAACAGCACTGAATATCTGCATATCACATTAATCACAATACTACTTCTCTTCCCTTCTCTAATAATTGATACAGTGATCACTAGCTACTTTTTTTCACCTCCTCAGATCTCCTGTTCAGTAGATGCTCAATAAGATACATAATAATTACATTCAACTCTTCTGCTAAATATTGACATACTTCAAACTATTAAAACACAGAATAATGTCATAAAAATACAAAAAACAAATGGTTTCTGAGAGCAATAACAAAACCATATAATACAATAGGTAAAGGTAAAGGTTCTCCTTGAGAAATTGTCCAGTCGTGTCCGACTCTAGGGGGCGGTGCTCATTCCTGTTTCCAAGCTATAGAGCCAGCGTTTGTCCGAAGACAGTTTCTGTGGTTACGTGGCCAGTGCAACTAGACATGGAACGCCGTTACCTTCCCACCATGGTCGTACTTATTTATCTACTCACATTTTTACATGCTTTCAAACTACTAGGTTGGCAGGAGCTGGGACGACAGGATTCGAACTGCTGATCTTTCAACCTTGCAGCCCAGAGGCTTTGAGGTTTAACCTACAACGCCACCACTGTACTATACAGTACTGTATATACCAGTAGCAGCTGGAGATTCCAATTTCAGAGGTGTAGTGGATCTCCTCTGGGCTTTAGTCTGCTGTTTCCTTATCTCTAAAAGTGTTTCAGCAATCTAAATTCTGTAAGATGCAGACTAAACCTTGCAGTGGATTTACAGCACTTCTGAAACTGGATTCATCAGAAGCCAATGCTGATGCATATAATCTGGCATGCAAATATATTTGGAAATTATCATTCAAAATTTTAATCAGTTGTATAGTACCAACTAATCATTTTTAGCAATGATCAACCATTAGCCTACCTCTCCATTAACAATTTCCTTGTCATTGAACACAAAGTTGACTTTAGCACTGCCAGACAACTTCTCAGCCTGCATCCAGAATCGCACCTGTCCCTTCTCCAGAATTTCAACTGCCAGTTCAGATTTAAGTGGGACGACTGTAACACAGAAAGACAGGTATTTCTAATTAGTTCCCAGGCAATGTGTTTTTAACATCTTCCTAGCTAAATTCCTGCTTATGTTGGATTGAGCTTGCTTACCGTGTAAAAGATGAATGTCAAGCAAACAATGGATTCAGTGGGGTAGGGAAACTGTCATATGAATTTTCTTCAGTAGCATAAAGCAATTTGTAAAACATATATGAGATTAGAGTTTGATTCTATGCTGTGGCTTTAACGGCCTCAGAGGTTGTGGGAGAGCTACTGACAGATTTTCTCTAGCAGCAAATCCTGCTTGCACTGAAGGGTATTTGCTGCAAGAGCAAAGTGGTGAACGTGGGACTCCGTGTCTGACTAACTGATGTACAGGCAGTGGAAGCAGTGATCACAAGCAGTTGAGACATGTGGTGGAAGTAACAGGGATTGGTGGTGGACTGGACTAAAGTCACTCATATCTCCACTTGGAAAACGTACCTTATTGTGGCTTATTGTCAGCTTTGTATTTGTTCACATTCACTGACAAAAGCAAATGCCAGTTTGTTTCTTTATAAGCAGCAAACTTCTGAAAACACTGCAAATGCATTTAATTTCCTTCGGACACACATCATTTCTAATATATAACAGAATCTGCTTAATTCATAGATAAATACATTGTGGCATACTTTTGTATAACCAATTTAAAATTTTGTGTAAAATTTAAATTAAAACTTTTCTTCTAAAAAAATAGAAACAACTAGATATAGGAAATCTCCACATTTAGATTCTACTTGGCATCTTATCACTATGGCAATGGAGCAGTATGGGCTGGAGAATTTCCCAGAGCCTTACTGAAAACAATTCTGTGGTTTTGAGGAAGCAGGCCATTGTCAAGTAATGGTTTTACTTTTTATGTTCTTTCTTGCGAATCTTTGTAGCTGGAGCACAAATTCTAAACATAACTGCATGTTAATATGTTTCCTGCTTTTGAATAAAATTAAATGAAGACCCCTGAAACAGATGAAGAAACTTGCAGAAAGCAAGAAATTCTGTGCTACCTCTTTCACCTGCAAGGCTCCTGTTAAAAAGCCTATGTATGGTTATAATATTTGAAGACAAATACAGTGGTGCCTCGCTAGACAATGATAATTCGTTCCACTGAAATTGCTGTTTAGCAAAATCATCGTCTAGCGAAAAGCATTTCCCCATTGGAATGCATTGAAACCTGTTTAATGCATTCCAATGGGGAAGAATCGCCGTTGTCTAGCGAAGATCAGCCGTAGGAAAGCCGCTTTGTGAACCGCCAATCAGCTGTTTAAATCGCTGTCTTGCGAAGCTTAGGTCCCGAAAACACCTGTTTTGCAAGCGCGGAGGAAGCTGTCAAAATTCTCGCCTAGCGAAAATCAGTTTGCGAAGCAGGGACCAAACATTGTCCAGCGAAATTCCCCCATAGGAATCACTGTTTTGCGAATCACTATAGTGATCGCAAAAAGGCAATGTCTAGCGAAAAAACTGTCATGCAGGCTAACTGTCTAGTGAGGCACCCACTGTAGAAAGGAGGCAGACTTACGGCCTTACCTAACTTCTAAACCTGAAAAAAAATTTCTTCTACTTTTGACAGTGATACTTTTTCTGTTGCAGATCTCTGTGTGTGAACAAACTTATCACAATGTTTTTGAACTACTGTCACTGTGCATGTCCTTTTAAAATTTTATTTTATTTTTCTGTGGTGTTTGTGTTGAGGTGTCATTTAACCTGTCAAATGGTCTCAACAAGAAGTTCTAAGCCCTTATTGAATTGGAAGGAAATGATTTGGCAACCCAAAAACACATTGGTACGCACATTTTGGAATAAATACCACATGACCTCAAAGCATGAGAGGAACATGATTAAAAGTAACATAACCACAGGGGGACATTTTGCTGGTGTGACCACAACAGCTTGTATTATTTCAGTCTGAAACAGAATGCAAAGCAAGCACAAAGCCTAGAAGCAAGGTGGGAACCAGTTAGAGGAGATTCAAGCCATTCACTGTTATAGAAAGTATCAGTACTGATATACTCACTTCCCAGAGAGAGATACTTTAATATTTTATTTCATTGGACATATACTAGAATACTTTCCCCAGATATTTTTACATTTTTGGAATTTGCAGCAATTCATTACTCATTACAATGGCGAGGGGGAGGGTAGACTCATTACTTTCTATCTTCACTCAAATGTAACTGATTACATTACTTTTTAGTAGCATGTGACTAATAAGCATGGGGTTTCCGATTTTTTTTAAAGTACCTGACTGACCCACTCTTACAAACATGCTTGTGACTCACCTGGAGAAATTGCCTAGCTGGTTTCAAGGCCTACCTTTGGCCTAGTTCCTGCTTTCTGTGCAGAAAAGAAACTCCAGCTAGCAGTGGTGCAGGCTCTTTTCTGCACAGAACACTAGGGCTGACCGAGGCCTATAGTAAGCCTCAAAGTCTTCCCAGCTAGGTCTTTGCTTTGGATGAGCCACACTCTGTATGCGTGCATCTGTCAGGTGGAACATGCAGAATGGAAAACTATGGGATCTGTAGTCCAAACAAATCCACAAATCCCATGACTAGTTTCTAATGTCTTGATTGCTTTCTTTCAAATGGTTAAATGACTCCTCCCAAAGTATTATTTTAGGAGTAACAAGGAAGGATTATGTATTATGTTAAACAAGTAGTAAATGTAGATGATAGTAGTTTTGAGTTATTTTTTAGAATAGACTAAGTTATCAGTTATTACCCCTAAAGTAACATGCTACAGGCAATAATGTTATTTTTAATGCTTTACTTCCCTGGAGTATACCAGTTGTAAATTCCTATTCTAAGGTATTCATATTAACGCTGGATACTACTGTCTTCATATTTTGCTAATTTGCAACCGGAAACTTGTGCTCATGACTGAGTGCAAGGAGACGCTTCATTTCTGCAGAACAGTGTAAGAAAAAGAAAAAGAATAATATAACATGTTTTGATATACAGTATTTGCACACTTTCATTCATGATCATTCATTATGTTTGTAGTATTATGGATCGTGCTTATATGCAACACACAAAACAGAGACAGGCTGACATGTACAAACCTGGTAAACAGAAGATTGAAATAATATACAGAAAGGGAGGGAGATGCAATGGATCGAGATATGTCAGTCTACAGGAATGATACTGACAGAACATGGCCCACCAAAATCCCTAACAAAATCTGGAAACTTCTGACTCAGTCACAGGTACAAGAGGACAAGTTATTTCAAATTTATTTGTGGTTAAAAAAAAACAAATACTGTATGAATCAAAAATAGACTGGAAAGCAGATTTGAGATTATCAACATCAAAAAGTAGAATAATTTGTGGGGAACTCATTTGTACAAGTCAATACCAGCAGAAGTTAGAGAAATAAACATTAAATACAAATATGGCAATTGAGCCTTAATAAGTTATCTCAAAGTGATAATACATCACCAATCTGCTGGAGGTAGTGTGGTCAAGGGGGTATATTAATACATATGTAACTAGAATGCCACAAAAGTAATGGATTCTGGAAAAAAGTAACAGGAGATAAAAGTAACAATTATGGTGAGCTATTATTAATATTATTGTCAGTGTTTATGACTGCAAATGAAAAGTTAATTCATAGATAATTAATTTCAGTTACATTGGGCCTGGTATGGGAATATTATTTTATGAGAAGTTTTCTTTCAAATGGCTAAGTGACTTTTTTTCAAATGGTTAAATGGCTAAAAAGAACTGGAAAAACAGACATGTTCATTGTAACATCATATAGACATATGAACCACCAAGCAAACATTTAAAATTTTGAACAAATGATCTTTAAAGAAACATGCATAAGATATGAGCTTTGTATCCTAGAACTGCTGAACTGCTTTCTTGACTGGACTGAAACATTGGACCATGGCTAATGGTTTGTATTTAAACTCACTAGCCATTTTGAAGATATAAGCACATGGTAAAAGTTGTAAAAATATAATTGCTTCTGTAGGGAAAATGTATGTAAAAGAGGACCATCAAAATATGTATAACAGCATACTTGTCTGTGAATGAGAAAAATGAATTTAAAAAAGCAGGGGAGAGTTTGGTGGTTACCTTCCTCATCTATTGTGTAGCTTGATGAAACACCATCTGTGTCCGTTACAACACAGGAGTAAATGCCCAAATCTTCTTCACCAAGGTCTTTAAAGATAGCTTTTGACCTTTAAGACAAAACAGGTTTGTTTAAGCAACTGCTATTCACTCAAATGATATCAAGGAATGTTCACATAGACTTGCAATAGACGGTGAGTATGACACAAGGGACTGCTGGATCAAGCAAGATAGTCAACTCTCTTTGTCTTGAAAGAGCGTTCCAAGCACAGAGAACTGCTACAGGCTTTATGGGTTAGATCTAAAACACTGTAAATAACACTGAAATAACACTAATATACAACAGGAAAATTTAAAAAATAACATATTAGAGTCAAACTAGATGTTCCATGGTAGATTTGTGGCAGGTTTTCCTCATGAAATATCTTTAAAGTGTCCATGGTGACTTGGATCAGGTCCATGGTGAAGGGGAGAGATATAAATCCTTCCCTTTATGCCACAGACTACAGATAAGTCAACTATACACCCCCCCAAAGTTATAGCAGGAACAGAAACATCAGAGAAACTATAAGCCACAAAGAGGGAAACGATACAGAAGCATGTGGGCATGAATCACTAGATTCTTCGCAACTGAATTTCCTTGCACGATATACTTCATTAAAAGAGTCTGACTAGCATCCTGTTCAAAGTGATTTGCAACTGGAAAGAGGATAAGAGACATGTAAGAAAAGAATCAATGTAGCGATTGATTGTTGTGTCTAAAATGGCTTACTTTCCTCCTTTGGTGTCAATGGTTAATCTGCAGTCATCTTCTATGGGTTCATAATTCTTGGACCAAACGAATTTAGAATCTGCAGTCATCTGGTCACATTCAAAGTTCAGTGAAATAACTCCATTGTCATCTACTTCAACTACAACTTCTTTTGTTCCTAGAAGATCAAAGAAGAGCAATAAAAAATATATGGCACATACATTGTCCAGATGCTGAGTGGAACTAAACTCAGAAGTGGAAAATTTCAAACCTTTTATTTTATTAGACAAACAGAAGAACTCATCAGAATGACATGGAGACAACTGCTGAAATTCTGTTGCTTAGTTGCACAAGAGTAGGCCCGCTGAATCAGTCGGGACTTGGTGAATCAGCTCTTCGTAACTTCCATAGATTCAAACGGGCCTACTCTAGTTGCAATCTATTTTAGTCAGTTGCAGCTAGAGTAGGCCCATTTGAAGCACAAGAGTAGGCCCACTGAATCAGTCGGGACTTGGTGAATCAGTTCTTCCATAATTTCCATAGATTCAAATGGGCCTACTCTAGTTGCAACCTATTTTAGTCAATTGCAGCTAGAGTAGGCCCATTTGAATCAATGCAACTCACAGAGGAGTTAGCTACCTAGTTAACTAACAGGATTCCAGTCAGTGGTGGTTCAATTAATGGAACTGCTGCTGTTAGTGGGAGCAGGAGGGGGCAATCTCCTCTGCTGCTGTCACCCACTGCACCCCTCACAAAAAAGCCAAATCGGAAAGACTGGAAAATTACCCATGGGCAATTTTCAGAGAGTGAATCAAACTGCAGGGAGTGGAGAATTCTACCACATCAATTGGAAACCATTAGTATGATGTTGGTCAGTAGCAGAGGCATTTCAGTATAACTAAGAGTAGTATACAATTTCTGATGAACTACAATAGCCAATTTAAACCTTAGAACTTTTGCTGCTCCCCCCAAAAAATGATGTGCTATCAGCTGACCATCCAGTGAAGGCTGCATTTGGACACCACAGGGAACAGTAGTTTATCATTGGGATAAGCCCAGGAATGAGCCCAGCCTTGATGGCTGAGGATGAGGCTAGACAGCATTTTGGTAAAACTGGGAACTTCTTACAACATCTGTATGTCCAATCACAAGCTTTTTTCACCTCCTATAGCTTGGAAATAACTTTGTTTTGCAATTGGTCATTAGGAAGTAAGGGTGTGTGTACCTGTACACTTCTTTGTGAGTGCAGAAAAGAACAAGTAGTTTCACACCTGTGTCAATGTACTGTATGCCCCTCAACATACACTATGAAAAACGTGCTGTCAGCTGCTCCACATTCCCTTGACATGCCCAGTTGTTGGGTGAAAATCATCTGATACATTTATTAATGTAGTGCTTCTAATATGAGCAAAGAAAGATAAGGAAGTAAATATAGGCTTTGCTTCATGTTTATTTGCTCAGGCTCAAAACTATGCAGGAATCACATCACTATCATGCTTTGAGATTCCAGCAATGGGCTCTCTGTATCATTTAATATGACCCAGAGAGCAATGCAGATGAGATGCTTCAAAGTGTGAGGCATTGAGGGAGAAAAGTCCTCAGCTAAAACCTCTCTGTGCTAAAGAAAAGTTGGAGCAGGATGGCAACAGAGCTCCTTCTCAGCTTCTCTGATATTCTTTGGCTTATATAGAGTGACAGGCTGGATATTTGAGCATGTAGTGGCTGAAATAGAAGAGTAAGCCGCAACTTGAATAGGCCCATTGAATCAATGGAACTTATAGATAGGTTGACTCAACCAATCCCCACTTGTTCAATGCATCTACTCTAGTTGCAGCTTACTACTGGATTTCAGCTAAAGTGTACCTTCTCTTTCTTGGGGAGGAGAGTGCACATATATTTGCCCTTTGCATTTCATCTGATGTCTTCTTGTTTCTGGAATAAATAGGTATGTAGAGTGATGGGGGCAGCTGATTTATATATACCTCCAACTATTCTGGGAGAAGAAAACACAGGATCTTAAATAAAAAGCATGAAGCAATAATCTGCTTATACAAGACAATGTTCTGACTTCCTATCAACAACTGGAAGCCCAGACTGACAATTCAATTGTGTGTCCTGTTTCCAGTCAATCTGACACATACAGACATGTTTATTTTTGTCACAAAGGAAAGAACAATGGAACATTCAGAAACCTGGCCGGGTTTCAGCTATGACAGGATCCGTTGCATCGGAAGGCTTTCCAACTCCAGCTTTGTTTGCTGCTCGAACTCGGAACACATAACTAGTGCCTTCTTGTAAGCCACCAATCTAGAAAGAACCAATATAGGGGAACATGAATGAAAGATCTTTTTCACACCAAGTGTGCAGATTAGTAGTGTCCCAGCACTATGCGAACTAATATAATATTGCTGACAAACAGGTGCAAAGTGGTATGATATTGTTTGATCACAGTGCTTATTTTGTTGTTAGCCATTGGATTCACCTGGGAAAGCACAAGTGATAGGCTATAGAGCCATATCAGCTACTGAGATACTCCCATGCTCTGTAAAGGTAATCTATGCAGGTGCCTAGTCTGCTCTCATGCAGGCAGTGTGTTGTTGCTACTTGCATTAACTATGATTGTTGCTGCTTGGAGTGTCATAGTTAATATCTGTGGGAGCACCATTCCAATAACCGGACCTGAATCTTACTCTTGTTGAGGTCCATACATTCCCCTTTCAGATCTCTAATCTCTGAAGGTAGAATGATCAGAAGGCCCCGTGTTGTGCTGTTAGCCTAGCACAGTGGGTTGCTTGCAGGCCAGCCCATTCCTATCTGTGGAAAACTTTGGAGTAAATAACAGCTGTTGGAGAAGACACTACAATATATTTCTAATTTACTAGTTCTTCATGTCAGCACATACAAAAAAGCCACTAATGAAGAGGTCTTTCATAGTTCAACAAAAAAAGGAAAAATCCTACCTAGTCCCTGTATGAAATTTGAAAATAATAGTGCATGGTACCCTTATTAATAATAATTATGTCCTGTCAAGTTTATTCTTACTTAACAGCAACTCTATCCAGGGTTTTCTGGGTACGTGTTTTACCATTCCCTTCTTCTTCTGGAGGCATTCTGGGGCCATGCAATGTATCTAAGCCCACACAGGCTGGCTCCTGGGGATTGAACTTCCAATTCCTGGCTCCGCAGTCAAATCTCACAAAGAGGCAAGCTTTCAAATTCTGCAGGATTCTTTATCAAGTTGGCAGATGCTGAGGCCAAGCTCTCTTGTTTAAAGCAAGTTCCAAAATGGAGTCTGCAACCTTGCAGAGTCAGGTTGAGGTGGCAGGCTTCAGGTGATATAGATTTCATTGTCCTTAATTTTGGGAGACAATCTCGACTGTATTTTCTCAAGCACTATATTCTCTGAGCAGAATGTAAATTAGCCTGAGCAAAAAGTTGCCCATAACACATAGGCCTATAGACAATTGCTGGTCATGCTACTCTGATTTCATAACACTTATTTTTTATTAATTGTGATGTCCTGCATCAGATTTCTTCCTGGCACTGTTGGAGTAGTTGTGTATACATATAACCCAAAGTAAAATAGAACCCAAGCAACTGACTAAAAGAAAGTACAGTACTACCAAAATAAAACTCATATGTAATAGTGATTGGTACCAGTAATTATATAACCGCAAACGTTGTTCTTAAACTGGCATACCTTGAAGTATTTGTTTGCAGTAGCTTTCTCATTCACACTCTTCCAGTGTTTGTCTGATGCATTTGTTTTTTTCATGTCAACATAAAAACCAGTTACAGGAGTTCGGCCAACATAAATTGGTGGTTTCCACAATAAAACCAATGAGTCTTTCCTAACTTCACTGCATGACAAATCATGCGGAGGTCCTGGAAGATAAACCAAAGGCTACAAATGAATCTACAACAAAGATCAGTGTATACTCAAAAAAAGAGAGTAGATATTGTAGAAACCCACAAACAAAAAAGGAATTAAGAGTAACCCAAATATATGTCTACCTACACTACAAAATTTTCACCAAACACAACAGTTTTACTCCATTGTAATTACCAGTGCTTTGTTTTATGAACCCCTTGGATTTCTGGTTTAGTGAGGTATTTAGGATTATCTCATGTAGCCCAGGTATGAGCACTAGCACTCTCTGGCACAGAATTATAAGCACTTGACCAAACTACAAATTCCAGGATTCCACAAGGTGGAACCAGAGCACTTGAAGTGGACTCAAAACTGCTGCAACTGTATACTGTAGATGCACATTACAATCAAAGAGAAAGACAGAAGAAAGGAAAAAGACAGTCCTATCACAAAGTTATTCAACTCTCCTTGTTTATACTTTGTTACTATATCATCAGGCCAACAAGAGGAGGCCCCAGAAAGACCATGGGGCCAGGGCATCCCCTCCCAAGAGGGGCTCACCTCAGCCAAGGGTGCGCGCAACTGTCATGCATTCTATGAATTAAAAAAGATTCTTGCATGGCATTCCTTAAATTAAAATACTTTTTACCCTCTTCCCAGACCATGAGGGGGCTTCATAATGTAAAATAGCTCAGGTCTCATCTGAATTCTCAGAAAATCTGCATGTTACATAGTGGTTTATTTTTAAAAAACTTTTGTATTTTTTAATTTACTTTTCTATTTGTCTGGCATAGTTTGCAAGGCAAAATCTGTATCCACATTTAGAAAATCCCTTTAAAATGGCCTGTGTTCTAAACCAATTCATTAAGGTCATGTTAAACACCACCTTACATAGAGAAAGGATATTTTGGATTACCAAGAACTAGCTTCCTTGGGATTTAAATTCAGAAATTAACATTTCAAATAAGATCTTAACACTTTAAGAATAAAATCTGCCTAATGATTTCAGCAAGTGACTTGCTGGGAGTAGAGATAAATTGCTATCCCATCTTATCCTGTGTGAAGTTCAGTTGGGCATGCAACACAGAAGAAAACTCCTTCAACTCTAAATAATCCCTTTTGGTCCTAACCTGGAACAGCAATGGTCCATTCTTCACACTTGAAGGACTTGGTAGGTGGTGAAGGTTTGCTAAGCCCCGCTAGGTTAGCAGCAGCCACCTGAAATTGGTAGGTCATGTTTTCCTTCAAGTCATGCACCTGCGCCATAAACAGAATAATGTTAATTCAATGTGCCACCTTTTAGTGAACACATACTTTTCTCTCAATTTTGAAAGAGAACTAGATATTTTATGTAATTTACAATAATTCTAACATTTATCTTAGAATCAGGCTAAAGGCCATATAATTATACTTACACTCTTTAGGGAGACAAGTAGCTTTCAATGTTCCAACTTGATATGTGCTTTTTGCCTAATTTATACCTATACTGTATACATACATGCACACACTCATACATGGAAATGACATATGGAACATTCCATTGTTATGGAACAAAACTTTCTTCCAAGACAACTTGAAAATAGTTTCACACATCTGACAGAACCTCTTTTTTGTTTGTTTTACATATGAGAGCACACAAACACTTCAAATTATGGCTCTGCATAGGCTCCTGGTTTGATTTGAAAGCCCATTTGAGGCTTTGGAATATTAAGTCCAGAGCAATTTATACCCACCCCTTGACAGATTGCTGCCTTGTCATGGTGAACGGGCTTGAGAAATTCAGAGAAGCTATGGGCTATGCCGTGCAGGGACACCCAAGACAGACAGGTCATAGTGGAGACATCTGACTAAATGCGATCCACTTGGAGCAAGAACTGGCAAGCCACTCCAGTATCTTTGCCAAGAAAACTCCAGAAACAAAAGGCTAAAAGATATGACACTAGAAGATGAGCCCCTCAGGTTGGAAGGTGTGCAACATGCTACTGAGGAAGAGTGGAGAACAAGTACAAGTAGCTCCAGAGCTAATGAAGTGGTTGGGCTAAAGCCAAAAGGATGCTCAGCTGCGGACGTGCCTGGAAGTGAAAGAAAAGTCTGATGCTGCCAAGAAAACTACTGTGTAGGGACCTGGAATGTAAGATCTATGAACCTTGGTAAACTGAACGTGGTCAAACAATGGAGTAGCCCTCATAGTCAACAAAAGAGTGGGAAAAGCTGTAATGGAATATAATCTCAAAAATGATAGAATTATTTCAATACGAATCCAAGGCAGACCTTTCAATATCACAGTAATCCAAGTTTATGCACCAACCACCCATGCTGAAGAGGCTAAAACTGACCTATTCCATGAAGACTTACAACACCTTCTAGAACTTACACCAAAGAAAGATGTTCTTGTCATTACAGGGGACTGAAATGCTAAAGTAGGGAGTGAAGAGATAAAAGGAACAACAGGTAAGTTTGGCTTTGGAGTTCAAAACGAAGCAAGGCAAAGGCTAATAGAATTTCATCAAGAGAACAAGCTCCCTGGAAGGACAGATCCTGAAGCTAAGGTTTCAATACTTTCGCCATCTCATGAGAAGAGAAGACTCACTGGAAAAGCCCCTGACGTTGGGAAAGAGTGAAGGCAAGAGAAGGAGGGGACAACAGAGGACAAGATGGTTGGACAGTGTCATCGAAGCCACCAACATGAATTTGACCAAACTCCGGCAGGCAGTGGAAGACAGGAGGGCCTGGCATGCTTTGGTCTATGGGATCACGGAGAGTCGGACACGACTTAATGACTAAACAACAACAAATTTCTACCCCTTTCCATTCTATGTGTGCCCCAAATCAGGTTTGATTTGTAAACCTCCCACTAAACTGCATTCAAAAACCAGAATTATAACATTTTAGTATTGATGAGAGCCTAGACACATATCAATTTATAAATTCACTTATTTTTTTCTTGGAATGAAATCTGGCCATCCTGTCTCCACCAAGACAAAGGAGTCTGAATCAAGCTGATTTGATTCAGATTTTGAGATCTGTCAAAAAGTGGTGGCGCTGCTTCTACTTTAAATTTGAACTTTCATTTCGTGAACTTACATACAGCTGACTTAGTGTAAGCAAGCACTACTAAAAGTGGCTTACAACATCACAGTTAAACTAAAACTCCAACCTCCTAACCAACAGAAAAATATTCCAAGTGAGCACATACAAGGAATGCATAACATTCCAAATGATGGCTGAGTGAAAAGACACATAAAAATACACTTAAAATACATTTTCCTTTCTGTTCAGACATCATGGTCAAAATCAACTCCATACTGTAAAACCATGGGCACCAGACAAGGCTTCTGATAACTCTTAAATTTTCAGAAAATCAGTAGACTGAAAAAAATGTCATGTTTTGAAAACCTCAAACCCTGTTCTGTGCCATGTTACTCTATTCAGTAATTTGTGTTGTTGTCATGCATAGTCAAATAACTTGCAACATATAGCAATTCTAAAAGGCTTTTCATGGTATGTGACATGTTCAAGGAGTAGTTTGGTATTATCATTCCATGCAAGTGGTTTCCGTGGATGAACCTAAGTCTTCTGAAACTCTGTCCATTCTACCATACTGGCTCTCATTCCCTACTTTAGTTTTGCTCAAAACATTCTTGCTCTCTGCCCTAAAAAGAAATAAATTCATGTTTCTGACTGTACTTCACTCCTAGTGAAAAAAGCATTAGAGACCAATAGATTAGTATTAGATACAAAGACAAGTACAGGTTCCTTCAGCCGTTCAATGAACTTTCCAGAGACTTCCTGAAGGAAGCTTGCAGACTACCAGTGGTCTGCAAACTGAAATGTAAGAAACTCTAATCTAATTGACAGGATAAGTACAGACAGGAAAACATAAGAGAAAGGCAAACGGCAGATTGTGTACAATCAAGATACGCTTCATGCACTCAAAAAGTCAGCTCACAAGCTTGATTTCTAAAATAAGCCAGTTTCTTGAACAGTCAGTGCTATTCATTGCTCCTACAACTCCTGGAAGCCTACAAAACTAAGGCGAGATAGGCTGTAAATAGGGGATAATCCAATGTTGTCTTGCAACATTAGATTATTTTCTCACCCTGTATGCCCGCTCACTGACAGCTTTAATGTTAGCTTCTTTCCACTCTCCAGGTTGTTCACCAATCACTTCCCGGTAATTTACATAATAGCCAGTTATTTCAGCTCCACCGATAGTTTTGGGCTGTTTCCAACCAAGAACCATTGAATCACGAACACTTTCGAGCACTGTGATGTCATATGGTGGTGATGGAACAGCTGTTTCAAAGCAAAAATATATATATTAAGACAGAAAGTTTCAATTACTCCATCAAACATTTCCTTAGATTTATTCAGATACATCCTGGAATTCTGCCCCCCCTTGATTAAAAATATATATATATTGGATTTTTAAAATGTAGAATTGCCTAACATCTGTTAGATAATAGAACTTCTTTAGAAAATAATGTGTTATAGTGTGAAAGAGTCTTATGACTACAACTCTTTAAAACAATAAATCTTTCATTCTAAATGAGTAAAATGTGCAATGAAAACCATTGTAGAATTACAGAAAACATTAACCTCAGATGCCAATCTTCAATCTTTTGTTTTGATTAATCAAAATAATTTATTTCATCAAATTGTTTCCAATTTCCCTGCTTTTTCTTCCACTCCTCATGTTTGATAATGTAGTCATACTTGGATGCTTTAATTACCTATTTGGGTACACCTACCTTAAAGTAAGTATATATGCATACTATAAGTCACAGCAGTCCAGCTGGATGGTGATTGAAAATGTAGGGAGAAGTATGTGGAAAAAGAGAATAAATCTTTGTCCAGCAACAGCATGCAGATATAATTTTTTATTTCTATAGTGCAGTGCTATCCTGATCCACAGCTTATAAGCCACAGCTCAGTATGAACCACAGACACCTCTTGAATATAGTTTAGTTAGAATTATATTTTCAGCTGCTGAATGCTCTTGCAGAAGTACTGTACATCTTACCCTACATAAAAAAGGAACTTAAAAATCCAGAACTTTCTTTATAATCAACCTCATGTCTCTCCCAAAGATCTATTTAAAGTTCCATTAATGAAACACAGATAAGAACCAGCCTAGATCAAGGAAGGATTGTTCAGAAGATTCCTTACATCTATGTGAATCACACTGTGCTCAGGCACAGATCCTACATCTTTCTGCAGACTCCATGAAATAAAGATTCATTTATAATAAGGTCCATTTCAGTTGACTCCCTAAGTGCTTTTAAGAGAGGGTGCTTACTTTGCTTTTATGATGGATTTATAAAGCATCTGGGGTGTGTGCATCCGTGCGTGTGCGTGTGTATGTAGGTAAGTACCCTACCATACTATATGTATGCAGGACATATTGCCCAAGATAATATTATACATGCATGTTGTGCGTACATATATAACTTTATCTTGGGCAATACAGTCTGAAGGGCTAAGATGCAAAATGTTTCTCAATGAATCAATTATAAATCAGGGCATAATACATATAAATATGATTAATACCATTTAGCAATAGATTTCCCTCGACAAAAACAAGCCATTGAATGGAACTAGAGAAATACAACAATGGTAAATACTGAATTATTTCCCTTGTTAGGTAAAAGAGAAATAAATTACAGAAGGGAAAATCATCCAGAGATGTGTTTAGCTGCCCTTGCTTTAGAAAGGAATGATTTGGCACCATGCTCCAGTGTGCTGTTCTTCATGTTAAGCCATGTTGACCATTTCCCAGAGTTTCCTGGTATATCCATGTCTTGGGACCATATGGTTTTTCTTGTATTAATTTAAAATATATAACTTCAGCTGAATAAGCTCCCAAAGTGGATGACAGATTGATTTAAACTAGGCCACATCCTCAGCTAAAACCTTTTTCTATTACAAAGTAGCAGTCTGCTTATAGTATACAAAATGATTTAGTACTCAAATTGGTCTTGCTTTCCATGTTAAACATTTAACATACAGACCAGAAAATAGTGTGTCATAATAAAGAAGCGGAGAAGAGAAAAGAAGAGAGGAGAGGAGAAGAGAAGAGAAAGGGGGCCCTGAATCAATAAATGTTACCAGATGGACTTAGATGCCATATATTAATAAGAACAATATTAAGCCTAAACAATACTAATCTAGTCCAAATGGCGAACAAAGGCAACATGCAAGCGTGTTGTTAGATGCAACATAGATGCCTATACAGAAATGTGTATATCACTTTTCATGAAAAGCTTAGCTTTTATTAGATGGCGAGGATGACAAATGTAGCATTGGCAGGGATGTCGATTTGCAGCTTGATGATCAAGATGACATCTGTCTGAAATGAAGGCACTAATATGGTGCAATCATGGCATATGACCAGAGCTCACCTATATCATTTTCCTCTTTCATCCTCTCCAGTGCTGAGTGATCCCGAGGATGAGACTTACTTGCCTGCTTGGTAGTTGCTTTTTGTGATGAAGGAGTAGGAATTGCTTCATTCACTTTTTTGTCTGTTGGACTCCTCTGCTTACCAGATCTATTGGGCACTGTTTGTCTGTTAGATTTAGCACTGCGTTTTAACAAAGCATCTGTGTCAAAAATAGGCTGGGAGGACTCATGCATGCCTTCCCAGTCGGCAGTGTGGTCTGTTAGTCCATCAGCTTTACCACTTAGTCCAGGACATACACCATGAAGCAATCCTCCCCCTATAGTTGCCAGAAAATAACAAAGACATTTGAAATTAGAATTGATTCATTCCTAATTCTCCATTATTCAGATGAATGAAGAAATGGACACATAGCTGGACAGAGACAGGACATTCAGATGTTACACTTACAGTCAATAATGCAGCATGACTGGATCTACGTCAAATGTTTGTCCGTATTCAGTATATCATACATCTCAGCAGTCCCTATTTGCATGCTATTAATTTATAGGACATTAAACGTTTCCATTACAGTATCTTGAAAGACAGCACTATGTTAACATAACGTTAGATCCTGTGGATGAATGCTCAGTCTGTAAAATCAATAACTGCAGAAATACATGCTATCGAGTTGCTTTTGGGAAGTTAGAAACAGCTTTGGTTTAAGGTTATCCATGCACTTGCTGGTCATGCCAAATTTCTTACTGACAGAATGCAATTTTAAAAAAGACTGCAGAGCATGAATGTGATCAGAATAACTGTATTAGCAGAGTCAAGGAATGAAGCCAGTTAGACATTTCAGTTAGCGGGCTTATTTTTGCAAGCTAGGGAATGTTAGAGGTGAAAGGGATACCACGTTATGGAATCAGTCTCCCAGGTCATTTGATGTAGTGAGGTGAGGTGAGTGTATTTTCTACACAGGTTTACAGGGAGCAGACCCAAGGAAAGCTGGCATGGTGATGAGAATTCTGTAAGTGTTTTGTGACTAGATGGCTGTGAAATGATGAAAATGAAGTATCAAATATTACTAATGGATGGCCAATATATGCAAAGAATACTGTCAATAAAATAATCATTTCTTACATCCCTAGAGTCAAGAATAAGTACATTGGTTTCCACTTCTACTATAGAAGCAGGAGGTCACTCACCAATGGCTGCCTTGACTTCAATTGCTTCTGATTCCTGTGAGTACCCACTCAGACCAGCAGCATTAACAGCTCTGACACGGAAAATATAATGATCCCCTGTCGACAGTCCATGACAAATGAATCTTCAAGAAAACAGGGAAGAAACCACAATTGAATTATGTTTCAGATTTTCTAAACCCTATCCAGAGCCCAAAAAAGTTACAGTTCTGGACTAGAGGTCCTAGAAGCTTCCACCCAGCATGCCACAGATCATAGTCCAAAAAAAGTGACTTTTCAAAGCTCTGCCTTATCTTGAAAACATCTGTGATAACCTGTATTGGAACTTCAACCAATGGATAAAGACTGTGAAGTACAACTAAGAGGGTAGTTCTGTGGTAGTAAAATTCTAAGGAACAATCCCAGAATTCTTTGGGATTGTCTTGCCTAGGTGCCTCACCTCACATGTTCTGCACTGAATGAGGGGGAAGGTAGGACAAACTCATTGAGTTTTGCCTTTCATAGTGACTCATCCTGCCACAGTCCATGCATTTAGGGCTGAATGTTTTCAGCAGAAAGCCTCCTGTCTGCATATAATTTCCATGCAGAATTTAGAATTCTGACTGCCCAGCACCAGTAAGTGAAGGAGATGATGGGTATGTCCCAGTTCACCTCCCTCCCACAGCGGAGTATGTGGGAGTTTGTATGTCTGAACAGAGCCACAGTTCCTCAAACGCTATCATCTACTAAAATAGCTAGCTCTTTCAAAAGAAGCAATCACTCACATAGCAGGCCGTATTATGCTAGCAAAGAAGGAGAACATTATATCCTGGCATTTCCACAGAAGGTATGAAGCACTGTTCTGACAGAACAGAGAAGGCGACCATTACATGGAATTAATAACAACTGGTTGAGATCTTGTTGCTTAGCATAGCAGTTACACTAGAAAAAGCCCATTAAAGCAGTGTATATTTTTAGTGAGTCAATTCATCCATACGTTCCCCTGAGTCAAATGAACATACTCTGGTTGCAACTTAATATGCTAAAGTAAATTGCACGTAGAATAGGCCCATTTGAATCCATGGAAAGTATGGAGGAGTTGACTTACTAAATCTCCATTGCTTCAGAGATCCTACTGTAGTGTGACTTACTATGGTAAGCCACAGGATTCCAGCCATTATGTGCCATGAAGTCAATTCCAGCTACTGGGGACTCTTTCCAGGGTTTTCTTCATACACAGTACTGAGAAGTGGCTTAGCAGTCCCTTCTTCTGACAGTGCTCTAGGACTGCGCAGCTTGCCCAAGGCTAACAAGCTGGTTCCCCTCCCAGAAGGCACAGTGAGGAACTCAGTTCCTGATCAGTACCGCAGCCAGGTACTTCGCTCTAGGACTGCGCAGCTTGCCCAAGGCTAACAAGCTGGTTCCCCTCCCAGAAGGCACAGTGAGGAACTGAGTTCCTGATTCCTGATCAGTACCGCAGCCAGGTACTTCAACTCACTAAGCTATCCAGCCAGCTATTTCTCAGGAACCTTAGGGCAATTCTGTGCTGCAACCTGCTGGATTACAGTATTAAAAATAAAATATGTATTTGTGTTATGTTTATTAGTGCCACACATCTTGTTGGCTCTTTAGCCAGCTATTTCTCAGGAACCTTTGGGCAATTCTGTGCTGCAACCTGCTGCAACCTGCTGTGCTGCAACCTGCTGGATTACAGTATTAAAAATAAAATAAGTATCTGTGTTATGGTTGTTGTGGGTTTTTCAGGCTTCTCGGCTGTGTTCTGGAGGTGGTTTTTCCTAATGTTTCGCCAATCTCTGTGGCCGGCATCTTCAGAGGACAGCCTTCGCGAATACATATCTGTGTTATGTTTATTAGTGCCACACATCTTGTTGGCTCTTGAGAGTTGGGATAACTCTGTTATCATTGCTATTATCGTCATGAGAGCTTGTTTTTTTCCTAAAAAATATGCCATTAAAACAGATTATCTTTTGCTTTTCGAACACACTTCGCAGAGTATTTTGCCATTGCCCAAATGGAGACTCCTTTTTGGTATGGCATGTATTGCTCTTTAAAAACACCTATTACTTTCGAGAAGACATCATGACATCTGTTTTTAGCATGCAGTAAGAGGATGCTACCTGCAAGCATATTGTTATTGCCATTATTACACTTTTATTCAGCGACCATCAGTCTGGTGTTAAGAAAAGCTATTCCCTTGAATATCTTTAACATCATGATATCAAAGCAATAACTCTATCAAGCTATCTTCTAAGACATAAACTGCAAGATAGCCATCAAATCACCAGATTCCTACCTTGTGCCTTTCACTGGATTATTGTTGCATGGTTCCCAGTGACCTGATCCAACTTTGCTTGCTTCTATGTAGTACCCAACCAACTCCTTCACATCTTTGGATTCTGTCCAAGTGACAGTTACAGAGGTGTTTGTATTTCTAGTGGGTATAACATTGCTTGGAGCACTAGGAATATCTAGAGATGAAAGAATCATAACAAAATTCAGTCATTTCATTTATTTACTCTGTTGACCACTTGATCTTTTTAAAAAAGGCACACAAGAGGGAAAGGTTGTGTGTTTATAGTTTCTTAGCCTCTGGGCTACAAAGAGTTCTCTAGTAATAATTAATCAAAATAAAATGAATGCCCACTACTACTGACATTAAAATAAAGTTTTTCAGATCTCAGTACAGGCTTTCAGGGCACATAGGGAGAGCGATTTGGGTTTGTATGTGGAGAAATCACCCCTCATTTTCCCATTAAGAGAAGCTGTTCCATCAGAAGAATCAGCCTGTTGGATCCTTTCTTTTTATTTATTTATTTATTAGATTTTTATCCTGCCCTTCTAGACAATGTCTACTCAGGGTGGCTTACAATAAATTATTCATAAAACAGTTAAAACAACAATTAAATAAAGTATTAATCAAGATGGGAAAATATAAACAAAAGACTAAATAAGAAATAAAAGTCAAGTATTGACAGGAGGGAAGGCTGCCTAAAGAGCAAATTGGCTCTTAAAAAACTTTCGGAGTACCTACAGCAAAGCAGTTGCTATTTTCTAACCTGCAGAGATTTATGCATTGCAATTTTCTCTTAGAAATATGTTGCTTATTTTACAAATATCATTTAAGGTACAAGTCTTTAATTGGCTCTTAAAAAAATTTTCGGAGTACCTACAGCAAAGCAGTTGCTATTTTCTAACCTGGAGAGATTTATGCATTGCAATTTTCTCTTAGAAATATGTTGCTTATTTTACAAATATCATTTAAGGTAAAATGAAGGGAACATGAATATAAAGACTAATACATTCTTATTCAAGAAAAGAAGAAAAACAAGTTCACAGTAAACTTCAAGGGCATCCTTTGCTGAAATGCTGTGTCCCTGACAATACACTTACCAAGTTTGTCACCAACCACCGTGGCTTCCGTGGCTTCTGAGGGCTCACCAATCCCAGCTGAATTACAACAGCGGACCCGGAACTGATAGGATTTCCCTTCAGCCAAGTCAAAAAGTGCAAAGCGAGGGGACTTTACCGGGATCTCTGTATTCACTCTTTGCCAATTTTCAGTTCCTGCAACACACTGCAACCAAAGTTTCAGAACTGGGCAAGATAAATCTCTCGGGATAAGATACCTTATAGCTGTCCAGCAAGAAAGAAGGAGATATTCATCCTATCACAATTCCTCATGACTGTCCAACTCATTTTGTGGAGAAAGGCTTAAAGGGCATCTAAACAAGAACAATTTCTTAAGATAAGAAAATAAGCTTATTTTGATCACTTATAGCTGGAAGTGTGTGATGTCATTGCACTATTGTTGGTCACCAGAGATTGCCTTGCTTTTTGTGGTCTCTTGTAACTGGAGGAAAAATAAATTTACAGGGAAGGGAGAAAGTATCAGAAAAACAACTCATTCATTCTATATAGTAGAACTTTCAGCTACTCATTCCACAAATGAATTCTGGAGGAACATGATGCCATTACTAAGAGAACATAAGCAAACATAGCAGAAGTGGGGGGGTCACCAAAGATTGCCTTGCTTTTTGTGGTCTCTTGCAACTGGAGGAAAAATAAATTTACAGGGAAGGGAGAAAGTATCAGAAAAACAACTCATTCATTCTATATAGTAGAACTTTCAGCTACTCATTCCACAAATGAATTCTGGAGGAACATGATGCCATTACTAAGAGAACATAAGCAAACATAGCAGAAGTGGGGGGGAGGATGTAACACCTAATAAAATAAAAAGTATAATGAGGTCAGTAATACAATAAACAATGGATGAAAAGACATTATTCAATTTCTCTTCACAGTTCTTCTATAACTGTAAAAATGTTACTTTTAAATCATAAAATCATAGAATCATTGAGTTGGAAGTGGCCTATAAGGCCCTTAAGTCCCACCCCCTGCTCAACGCTGGAATCCAAATCAATTAATTAAATAATCAATAGTATAACTTCTAGAATCCCCTAGTCAGCACAGGGTTATAGGAGAAGAAACAGAATAAGCAATTTATGCAAGCTCTGAAAAAAGTTACTTAAGGTATTGTGCTGGGTCCCAAGACCTGCAGAGAGAAAGAAACTTGTTGTCTAGGAACTTCACCCTACAAGACAACTCCCTGCATCCCACCCACCGAAAATCAGTTCCTCGTGGACTGAGGTCCCTGCAGAATAAAGCTAGGGAAAATGGAGGAGGCTGCGAGTAGAGACACATTAGGTAGAGACACCTTTTGTAAGAAGATTAAAGATCAGAATGGGTGGCACTGAGGGGGAAAGGAGGTGCAGTGTGCAAGTGAAGATGAATGGTGGGCAGACCAGAAAGTGGAAGGCCTCTTTTGCAATATTTCTCTGACTTACAGGCCTTGCAGTCCAGTACATTAAGGAAATGTGTACTATATCTCAGGGAGTCAATTTTAACATTTGGAAAAATGAGTGATGTTACTAATCAGCATATGTAAGCCACAGAGAATTGCTCTTATTTTTATCGAATTCCCGTCTCATCTCATCAATCTATTTCTGTCTTGCATTAAGAAAAGTAACTCCTGACAAAGGTCTTGAGGAAATAAACAGAAATCCTGTGGGGCTAGGTTTCTTTTTCTTCTTTGGAGATCTTTGTTGAATATTTAGTTCATCCCTGTCTATTCACTACTCCCTTCAGTCTACAGTAACCACTATCTCTGGGTTTTTGACCTTGTTGTCAAGTAAAAGTAGTTCAGCAGCCAAGCAAAGCAGAGTGAAACTTTTATTCTGAGAAGAAAACATGGCTGGAAGGGAAATGAATGAGGAAATAATTTAAGGAATTTTACCTTTTCAACAAAGTACATGACCCCCTCATGACCGCGTTCGTATGGAGGCTTCCAGCTAAGTACAATATAGTTCTTTGTGGCTTCTGTAACATGGAGGTCTAAAGGTGGTCCAGGAACAATTCCCTCTGTATAAAATAAAAGTAGTGTAAGCAAGTCCTTTTATAGAGTTATCAGCACTAAAGCAAAGCTGCTATAGCACTGCTTGAGCAGACGGGCCTGCAAAACTATCTATATGTATGGCCTCTGTGAGATCAGGGAAGCTGAGGTTGGAAGCTGATAATACAGGTTTCTGTATTTCCACTCAGGAGGCTCAAAACTAATGCTATGTCATTTCTCAATAGCTAGTGCAATGGAAAAATATTCCCCCAGCAGCTCTTGTTGCTACCACTCAGGTTTTGGGGGTGCATGGAAGCTACAAGGGGCAGGGGATTTCCAATACTGTATGTACAATATGTGCTTGCACATAGGTGGAGACAAATATAACTAAACTCAGTATTCAGTGTTGAAAGTTCAACATTCATAATTAGTTTCATTAGCAGGGAAATCATTGGCACCTCAAAAACTACTCTTGAAGGACACCATTATAAAAATGTTAGAAATCAGCTAATGCAGATCTGCCCCAAAACAGGATCAAAAAGTAGTGTAAACTGAGTTCCTTCATGAAGAGCTTGTAATTTACCAGTCGGTTCTTCTTCAGTGACAATGATCTGTCCAGTCCAAGGGGCAGAAGGGTGACCTGGAACAGAGAACAGAGATGAGTCAGACTTTGATATATATATAGCAATGAATAGTCACTCGCCAACACAATTATTTATTCATCCCTTTAACAGAGCCAAATAATTCTAGCTATGATAGTAGCATTTTGAAAAGGAAAGCCTGAAGCTACTAAATAATAGACATGCAAACTATCACTTCCACTTACTGAAGAAGACAGTGGTTCATATGTAGAGCACCTAAATTGGGACTACAAGGATTTCTTACATACTTTTTCAACCCTTATATGACAAACTAGATTTATGTGACACGAACAACAGGAGCAGAAAGGAGGCTCAAATCTATATGTAGATTGCAACTGTTGATACTGTGAAAGAATCTTGAAATATGATAGCAAAAAGAGAAGACTTAGGTCCCATATCAATCCTGCTGATGCCCAAATATCTGAGTAGATTTCAGATTAATGGTAAGAAATAGTTATTCAGGATAACTACATTACCAGCAGCTAAAATGCCAAGATAACTGCCTGGCTGTGTGTTTAGAGAATGAAAATGAACACAAATGGCACTCAATAAAACAATATAGTTAAGTGGGTTGTTTGTTTTTGTTTCTTTGTTTGGTTTTACACACAGCTTCCACTAAAAAATGTGTTCTCTGTTACATTAAAATAACCTGCTAGAGCTTCTTTATGGAGAATGCTCCACTTCTGATCCCTTTGCTGGGCATTTCAAATAGTGACATGGAAGCAGTGGGTGGAAAGAAAAAAAATGTTTATTACAAAGGAGTTGTCTGCTTGAGAAATCTCACTTTGAAGAGGGAGTTTATTTTACTATTGCGCCCTCTAGTGGAATGTTGTGCACTTAGACATGATGCACACTTTCCCATAATTAAAAATTTCATGCTTCTGAATGAGATGTATTAGGAAGGTTCTTACTTTTAAGTCTAGCCCTATCTGCAGGATCCAGTGCTGCCACAGGCTCTGAAATGCGAGACGGATTGCTTATGCCAACATGATTCACAGCTCGGACCCGGAATATATAGGAGCGCCCTTCTATTAATCCTGTGACGGGGAAGCGAGCAAACTTCACTGGAGTCTCATTGCACTGGGACCAACGGGTAGTGCCAACTTCACATCTGCAGAAGACATAGCAAGGCTTTTTTTTAACTGACAGAGGGAACTGATAATGAATATCTCTCATATTCCCCCAGCCATTTGCTCATGTAATTTTAACTTGAATGTACTTCTTTGCCACATCTCATATATACTAATTATATATATATATTAGGATCTTATATAAGGATCTTAATTACTCTGTGTAAGTGCTTGGTGTAGCCTTGCTGTATTTTCATAAAAAGGAAGCAGACATCTTTAAAAGAGCCTAGTCAACTAATTGAGCTAGAATATTACTCACCAATAATGTAATGGCGGCAGGGCCCCCTGGTGACATACTTTTACTAACATATTGATGTATCCGGCATCACAAATTAAAAAAATTAATATACGTGTCATAGTAATGGCGGCCACCTTCCCGGCTTCGATTCTGAAAAGTAGCCGGGCAGGTTGTGCAATAAGTGCAACCCGTGCAACAAAGGTACAAAATAATACAATCCTCCAGGTGATGGGGAAATGTTCTGCAGTTACACCATGGGCTGGGAAAATGTCTCAATATTGACTGTGTGTCATGTGACCAGAAAAAAAGAGCAACAAACAACTTGGGGGATAACTAGAGAACATTTCCTCATGTAACCAGGACCTTAGACTGATCTGATTAATCAGGGTTCTCCTATTGTTCTTACCCAAATACATTGCAAAAAGCAGGGCAAGGAGGAATCACAAGCAGATGTTCAGCCTCCATTCCCTCTTGACCAGACACCTTAACTTGAGTTAAGCCATGCTATTAAACAACAACACCCTCTTCTCCATACATATTGGAATCTTATAAACAAGAGTCATGGGGTTCTTGGTATCCAGTGCCCACAGAATGGCCAAGATCCTGCTGTTCAGCATAATTCCATTAAATCAAATGGGCCTACTCAAACAGCAACTTGCTATGATAAAGTAAGTTGCAGTTAGAATATCTTGATTCAATGGGCTTATTCTAGGTGTGACTTACTGGTGGATTTCAGCCATTATCGTAAGTTTGACCCTGAAAAGGAGCCACTATGGAAATAGCTCGGCATTATATGGGCCTTTTCCTAGACCAGTGGTGTCCAACCTTGGCCCTTTAAATTTGACCCTGAAAAGGAGCCCCTATGTAAATAGCTTGGCATTATATGGGTCTTTTCCTAGACATTCAACTGCATATGCTGAGGCAATATTTTGGCAGGCATACTGATTTGATTCCATGGTCATACAAAGAGTAAACACACAGAGGAAAAGATTTGAAAGGAGTTGTGGTTAAACATACAGTAGTTATTGGACATTGTTTATTAACAAATATCCACAACCTGCAGTCATTCAAGTGCATATGCTGAGGCAATATTTTGGCAGACATACTGATTTGATTCCATGGTCATACAAAGAGTAAACACACAGAGGAAAAGATTTGAAAGGAGTTGTGGTTAAACATACAGTAGTTATTGGACATTGTTTATTAACAAATATCCACAACCTGCAGTATATCACATTCTAGAAGGGCATAAAATAGATTTGGACTTCTTTGGGTAAGTGTGATTTCTCCGAATGGCTTGTGGTTTAGCAATAGGAACACCATGACACCCACCAATCCAAAATTGCACTGCTGAACTGAAAAAAGCTCATGATACTCTGAACAAATTCTTGGTCTCAAAATTCCTTAATTTCATGCGCATCTCTTATGAACCAGCCTCCAGGTAGCAAATTTCAGGGGTTTAGTTGTTCTGTCTGTCTGTCTGTCTGTCTGTCTGTCTGTCTGTCTGTCTGTCTGTCTGTGATCTTCTGCCTGCTATTGAATTTAACAAAATACCAAATTTGGATTCATTAATAAAAGAGACACACTCATATTTTCCAAAATTAAGATGTCACACTGGCACAGCTGTAATTTCAGTCTGGCATAAATACTGACTTATCAATGAAGTATCCCAAGATGGGACTTCCCCCATCAACAGCTGGTTGTTTCCAAGAAATAATGACATAATCCTTGTTAGCATCCAAACACCGCACATCCAGTGGAGAACCAGGTGCTCCTGGAATATCTGCATCAGCATCTGTATAAACAGAGATACACATTTTAGAAAGCTGAGTAACTATGTACTTAAAGATACTGTTTAAAGGCCAGAGTACATCTCTACTGGCAACAGAACTGAGGCCTCATCTTTATGATTCTAGCTGTCCAAAAATTTATTAATAGTCAATATTAACTTGCTTAACATTCTAGAAACCCAAAAATAAGATATATCACAGGGAAAACTCATCAACCTTATTTATTTTATTAACACTCATGGATCAACCTTGTTTTGCAGCATACATTTGTCTTTTTCATTTAATTCCGTGACTCCTTACAAGGTTTATTGTAAAATGGAAGATGGGGGAATGGGAGAATTTCATAATTCTGTATAATTAGGAATTGGGGAAAAATTTGTTTGGCTTTCATTTTAATACAAACTCAGCTAAGTTGCATCTTAATATGGAAACAGAATGAAATTACTGTTCAGTTCATAAACTTCTCTATATTTTGCAATACAATTCTCCATTTGAAAATTGCAAACACTTAGAAAAATAATGTACAATAGGGAAAATGGTTTCACAAATATTTGTATATTGCAGGAAATGTATAGTTTCCATCCATATTAAAAATGTGCACAGATGTTTACTCCTTTTAGTGCAAACATTAAAAAAACTATTGATGAAGAAATGAAACAGAATGAGCAGGTGCCTGAAAAAGAGGTGAACCTTATGAAGATAAAACAGAGATTTCATCAATCCCTGTGCATGGCATTTCCCAAGAAATGCAGGCCAGAATCCAATCAGTTACATCCACAAGTGCAACACAAACCACATACCTTGGGAGTGAATTTCATCATGTGAAGAAATCAAGGTAGATGTTATTTGTTGTGGACCAAATTGTACGACTTGGTGTACAACAGATAGTGTCTATGATGATTTTTTTAACTTGAGGCTATTTGCCTCCGAAAGTTATACCGTTTGCATTATGCTTGTTAAAAACACAATAGGATTTGTGCCATAATGTTTCTTCTATCGTTTCAGTTATTTTTTCCTATTCTACTTCGTATGAAAATGTGTTAATAAGTGATGCAACTAAACTTCAGTTGAGAGAAAAACTCAGCAGTGCCCAATGTTAATTTAACTTTCAGGGTTGTTACAAGACTATACCATTGCTTCAAGATAGTTTCCTAGTTTTCATTTTATTTTTCAAAACGAAAATGTTTTAACGATCCAGTAGAGTCCTTTCAGAAAATTAGTTGCAGCTTGCCAACATAAACATTTTTAGCTGATTCACTTGCTCCTTCATTTGCATGGTCACAAATAACCTGCCCCTGGGAACGAATGTTTCAATGTACATTCTGGTTGCGTTCTGCAACAAGACCGTTATCTGTATTTCCTTAGGTTCTGCTGATCAAGGCAAACTGGCGCCATTCTGTCCTTAATCAGAGAGCCAGGAATGTGAACAGCCTCCAGGACTGGCATTGCACTCTTCAGCTGCCTTTCAAAGCTGAGACTGGTACAGAGTGAAACCTGATCACTCCAACACTTATTCAAGAGACATCCAGGCTCTTGTTGAAGGGATATTCTCTCCATGAGAAATTGTATTCATTCTACAAAAATGATAAAAATGAATCTAAACAAAATGAAACAAATAATATTGGTTAATCCATGTAGCACAATCCTGTGCTTGTTTATTGAGAAGCAAGTCTCAGGGTGTTTATTGAATTGCAACTAATATTTTGAATTTTAATTTAAAACATTCTCTAGAGTTGCAGCTGCAATTTTAATTTTTAATGAAGAGAAATTTTGTAACTACCCTCCACAATAAATAACTCCATATGAATTCTGCTAAACTTGATCCGCTTGTAGTTACTACATGTTACAAGCCACCACCTTCAATCAACTGTTTGGGTCATAACATTAAGGTGGGGGATGGGGAAATATTTGCAGCGAGAATCAGCCAAGACAAGTGGACAAGTGCTTTATCATTCTCCACTAATTGTAACATTTTCCAGCATGGAGATACTGTTGTGGGTAGCTTTAGATCTGATAAATTCCTGTCCCATGTGTTGTAGCCTTGTAAACGCATAGCCATTTTCTCAAGCTGAAGCCCAACTTTCAGGACCATACTATTAGAATTGTAAATATTTGTTATGACAAATATGTCGTAACTTCAGTGTTGAATGGATTGTCACTCTCGAATTGGCCTTCTCAGCCACACTAGATGCTGTTCCAAGACTTCTATTCAAAGCACGTTACCATAGTCTCTCGAGACTGGATGCCTACTACCTGTTATGACTATTGTCAACATTTCTATTTTTTAGAGCCTTGGAATCAAGCACTATAAGAACCTCATCTCTCTCTCTTCTGCTGCACTGAAGGCTGGACTTTATCGCAGCTGTTTAGTTTTTGGATGCAGATGCTCTAAAGTTTTTAAAAAGTATATTGTGTTGCAGACCAGCCACTCTCTAAGGGTTTTCAGCCAATAATTCCTTCTTCTTTGTACACTTCTTTCCCCATTTATCTTATTTGGAATGATATTTCTTCTAACTACTTTAAATTTTCTCTTTTCTACTACTGTGGAAAAATGTGCACAGGGAATGCAATGCTGGTTTAAATTCAGACATCTAGATAGCATTCTGTGGACCCAGATCACGCAGGAGCAGCTCTTACTTTACGGAATACATATTTGTTGTACTTCCTATTTATAAAAATTTCATCAGACTGCAATCCTCTATACATTAACCTGGATTCAGTAGAGTTTATTACTGCGTAGACTCGTGTAAGATCGCAGTGCTTAAACCACAAACTGAATACCAGGGTTTGGACTTCATGCTGTCTTCTTTCTCATTAAGTAGACATATAGCTTTTTTGGTATGAAAAACTCCAGAAGTCTCAAAAACAACCAAGTTCTGTTCCACCACCACCAAATCCTACCTTGAACAAAAACATAAGCACTGTATTCCTCGTAGTAGTCTCCCATCACCACACGGAGGGTGTAAATGCCTTCGTCTTCTTTGTTAGCATGTGTCAGTGTTAGGGTAGCTCTTTCTCCACTCCAGTGCATCTTGACCCATTTGGATGGAGAAATCAAGAGTCCTACAAGTGAAATAGATGCGACTTAACAGAATCTAAAGAAATCAAAATTGCCCAGAGTTGAATTACTTCTGAATGAAGAAACTGTCCAAAATATAACCATCTATATCATTTAAAAGTAAAGAATGCTGTTTTATTCAAAACTACCATTGCATTCATATGAAAGTTTATGCAGATTCACCGACTTATAATTATCGTATTTTTTGCTCCATAAGACACACCTGACCTTAAGACGCACATAATTTTTAGAGGAGGAAAACAGGGAAAATATATTCTGAACCAAATAGTGTATGTAATAAAATATTTAATAAACTATAACAGAATAACATTTGAACCATGTAAAGTGAACAGCAGTCAGCAGTGGCATTAAGAACCATTACCACTGTCATTAACAAACGGAGAGACTTAAAGCTTTGTGTACTCTAGTTTATGTACCATAAATTTGTGTACCATAAATTTAATTCAAGTACATTTTACATTTTAAAATGACAATACCAGGCAGTCCCAGGTCTCTCTCCCAGCTCTCTAACTGCTTGGACTAGCAAGGAAGCAGACAAGCAGCCTCGTCACTAACTGAAAGTTTGAATTTCCCTGCTTTCCCTGCCTTCCCCGCATATTAGGTATGCTAATATCTGTGCACTGGAGGATTGTGGGAGGAACATCCAGCCCCTGATGGGGGTCCTGTGGGGCACCCCAAAACATTGAGTACCTCTCTTGGCCTCTTTCAGGACTGGGGCTGTGCAGCCCTGTTCTGATCAGGAGGTGCAGCCGGGGGGTCACCATGCCTTTGGGGAACAGGGCACAGAAAGGGGCAGGAGGTTCAGGGGCCATTCCAACTCATACCTGGCAGGGGAGATACAAAATGCTTTTCCCACGGTGAGGCTCTATTGCACTTTGGATGTGCTTACCCCTGTGATTTCCCCAAATGTGGGAAAATCAACTGCCTAAGTGGGGGACTGTGTTTGTGGTTTCCCCTGGTCTTTCTAGAATCACCATTTCCCCTTTGGACCTTGGCTGTTTTCACTGCCTGCTGCCATAGGCCTGTTTGCCTTGCTGGTTTTCCAGGTGGGCTCCAGGAAGCAGATCATGGAAAGCCAGCAGTGCAGAATGGTGAGATCCAAACAGCAAGCAGTCTCTGGTGCCAGTTCAGAGGCCTTCCAGCATGGCAGTGGGAGGCTTCTGGGTGGTGGTGGTTGAACCCTTTTTTACTGTATTCACTCCATAAGATGCACATACTTTCTCTCCCACTATTTGGGGGGAAAAGTGCATCTTAAGGAGCGAAAAATACGGTAATTAAATTTATGTAGTTTATACAATTAATCAAGTTAGGTTTCTTTAATCTAGTGACAGCTCTACCTCTTCAGTGGTCGTATAGACCAGATGGGTGGGATACAAACAAACAAACAAACAAACAAACAGGCAGACAGACAGACAGACAGACAGACAGACAGACAGACAGACAGACAGACAGACAGACAGACAGACAGACAGACAGATAGATAGATAGTTTTTCCAGTTATTCTTAAATTGAACTTTAAAATTGAAGCTGGATGGTGTGTTTTCTGTGTGCTATCTACCTATACCCAGAAGTCAGTGAGAACAATCATCATCCTTCCATTTGCACAACAGACCAAGAATACAAAGATTAATTCTAACATCACATTCTTCTATCTCTCTTTTATTATAACTGCTAAAAACCATGAGGGATAGGGTATTGTAGGAAATGAAGCCCCTTCAAGAAGCTTTTCCCATCTCTGATTTCCCATCTCCAACACACCATGTTTTGTTCACTTTTGTAGGATTTTTCATAGATGTTTTCTACAAAGAAAGGTCACAGAATACAAATGCAGCCTAAGTGAAACAATGAACTAGTTCAGGTTCTGCCACATGTGCTCACCATTCCTGTACCACTGAATTTCTGGCTGGTAACGTTTAATGTCAGGGTGAATGATAACTGTACAGCCGATACTCATTGTTTCACCTTCTCTTCCAAAGGAGACTTCAAAAGTGTCCACAAAGTGGATCTCAAACCTGGAAGCATAGCCATGTGGAGTAATGCCAACTGTAAGGGAAAAAAAGATAAACTTATTTCCTTTCTTGTCTTCAAAACTGAATCATTCCAGGATCGTAAAAAATATTGTTTTCCATCTATCAAAAGAGCAATTTTTATAACAAACTACCAGTGAAATTCAATTACTTATTATTCTAGATCCTGCATTGTTATCAACAATGGCACGCAGAGTGGATAACAATAGTTAAGTTAGGATAAAAACAGATTAAAGGCATAATTAAAGAGCACCAATAAAAAGGAGTCAAAGAACAAAATTTTGAACCCTTCCAAGAGCATTCCACATTAAATGTCAAAATCCTTTCTGAAGAAAAATGTCAGTTACATACTTCTAAGGGCTACAAACCACACCAAAACATAGAGATACACAGGCACGTGCATCCAAACACATACTCACAGACATACGGTATATCTGCCTATGTGTACATTTAAGGTTGTTGATATTTCTTCCAGCAATCTTAATTCTGGTTTGGGATTTCTACAGTCCAGCCTTTCGCATGATGTATTCTGCATATAAGTTAAATAAGCAGGGGGACAATATACAGCCTTGTCGTACTCCTTTCCCAATTTTGAACCAATCAGTTATTCCATATCCAGTTCTAACTGTTGCTTCCTGTCCCACGTATAGATGCAGGCACTCCCATGTGCTGTGGTCCGCAGAGTCAGATGCTTTTGCATAGTCAATGAAGCAGAAGTAGATGTTTTTCTGGAACTCTCTGGCTTTCTCCATAATCCAGCGCATGTTAGCAATTTGGTCTCTAGTTCCTCTGACCCTTCAAAGTCCAGCTTGTACTTCTGTGAGTTCTTGGTCCATATATTGCTGAAGCCTGCCTTGTAGGATTTTGAGCATAACCTTGCTAGCATGTGAAATGAGTACAATTGTACGGTAGTTGGAGCATTCTTTGGCACTACTCTTCTTTGGGATTGGGATGTAGACTGATCTTTCCCAATCCTCTGGCCACTGCTAAGATTTCCAAACTTGCTGGTATATTGAGTGTAGCACTTTAACAGCATCATCTTTTAAGATTTTAAATAATTCAGCTGGAATGCCATCACTTCCATTGGCCTTCTTGTTAGCTGTGCTTTCTAAGGCCCACTTGACTTCACTCTCCAGGATGTCTGGCTCAAGGTCAGCAACCACACTATCTGGGTTGTCCGGGTCATCCAAATCTTTCTGGTATAATTCCTCTGTGTATTCTTGCCACCTCTTCTTGATGTCTAATGCTTCTGTGAGGTCCCTCCCATTTTTGTCCTTTATCATGTCCACCTTTGCACAAAATGTTCCTTTAATATTACCAATTTTCTTGAACAGATCTCTGGTTTTTCCCTTTCTATTATTTTCTTCTATTTCTTTGCACTGTTCATTTAAGAAGGCCCTCTTGTTTCTCTTTGCTATTCTTTAGAAGAATTTTCTGTAACTTTCCCTATCTCCCTTGTATTTTGTTTCCCTTCTCTTCTCTGCTATTTCTAAGGCCTCGTTGGACAGCCACTTTGCTTTCTTGCCTTTCCTTTTCTTTGGGATGGTTTTTGTTGCTGCCTCCTGTACAATGTTATGAGCCTCCAGCCATAGTTCTCAGGCACTCTGCCCACCAAATCTAGTTCCTTAACCTGTTCTTCACTTCCACTGTGTATTCATAAGATTTAGATTATACCTGCCTAGCCCAGTGGTTTTTCCTACTCTCTTCAGTTCTTCAGTTTAAGCTGATCAGAGCCACAATTGGCTCCAGGTCTTGTTCTTGCTGACTGTATAGAGCTTCTCCATCTTTGGCTGCAGAGAATATAATCAATCTGATTTCGGTGTTTCCCATCTGGTGATGTCCATGTATAGAGTCGTCTCTTGTGTTGTTGGAAAAGAGTGTTTGTGATGACCAGCTTATTCTCTTGACAAAACTCTATTAGCCTTTGCCCTGCTTCGTTTTGAACTCCAAAGCCAAACTTACCTGTTGTTCCTTTTATCTCTTGACTCCCTACTTTAGCATTCCAGTCCCCTAGAATGACAAGAACATCTTTCTTT